AGTGCTGGGATTACAGGCTTGAGCCACCGCGCCCGGCTTTAATTTTTGTATTTTTAGTAGAAATGGGGTTTCACTATGTTGGTTGGCCAGGCTGGTCTGGGACTCCTGACCTCAGGTGATCCACCTATCTAGGCCTCCCAAGGTGCTGGGATTATAGGCGTGAGCAACTGCGCCCAGCCTTGAACCAAGGTTTTTTTTTTGTTTTGTTTTGTTTTTGAGGCAGTCTCGCTCTCACCCAGGCTGGAGTGCAAGGGCGTGATCTCGGCTCACTGCAACCTCCACCTCCCAGGTTCAAGCGATTCTCCTGCCTCGGCCTCCTGAGTAGCTGGGATTACAGGTGCATGCCACTGCACCCAGCTAATTTTTTTTTTTTTTTTTTTTTTGAGACGGAGTTTCACTCTTGCTACCCAGGCTGGAGTGCAATGGCGCGATCTCGGCTCACCACAACCTCCGCCTCCTGGGTTCAGGCGATTCTCCTGCCTCAACCTCCTGACCAGCTGGGATTACAGGCACGCGCCACCATGCCCAGCTAATGTTTTTTGTAGTTTTAGTAGAGACAGGGTTTCACCATGTTGGCCAGGATGGTCTCGATCTCTTGACCTTGTGATCCACCTGCCTCGGCCTCCCAAAGTGCTGGGATTACAGGCGTGAGCCACTGCGCCCGGCTAATTTTTGTATTTTTAGTAGAGACAGGGTTTCAACATTTTGGCAGGCTGGTCTCAAACTCCTGACCTTGTGATCCACCCGCCTCGGCCTCCCAAAGTGCTGGGATCACAGGCGTGAGCCACCGCGCCCGGCCTGAACCAGGGTTTCTAAGATGCTCTTAGCCTCCTCAGATCTGGCCTAGCCCACCTTTCCATCTTACCTTTTCTGCCCAACTGCCCACAGCTAGCCCAGCCTACGCAACAGCCAGTCTGGCTCCCCGACGATGCAGAGCTGGCACTGGACGCAGGAGCCAGGCCCCGTCCGATCCAGGGCCCCCCGGCCGCAGACGAATGCTACAGACACGCCTCGTAGCACATGGTACTCTTTATTGTGATGCTCGGTGGAAAACATCTGTAGACCAGCTTACTGTAGTGGTGACAGCTGCAACACATGCTAAGGCACTTTTATTATATAAAAAAGGGGGTGGGGTGGGAGTTCCACTCACTGCTTTGTGACAGCAACTGGGACCTGAATTCAGAGCTTTGTAGGCATATGCAGCTTTTATATCGCTTCATGATTTGAGAGTTTGTTTCCTTTAAAAAAAAAAAATGCCTTCTTGCCGTAAGTCTCAATGCAGCATATACAAAACAGTTAGGAATAGAAGTAAATTCGGCAACCAGTGTAGACCAGTGAGGACAAGCTACTCTCTTCTAAACAAAGGCAGTGAGAAAGACTCAATTTTATTTATTACAAGAAAGGGGAAAAAAGAAACCCCCTTTTTTTTTTTTTTTTGCTTTCAAAAATATCTGTGCAGGTGGCAGATTTTTAAACTAGACTGAGTCAATGGTGCCAGTAAACTACCCTCGGGCCTGTGCTGGAGCGGGCACAAGATGGCACGGGAGGGCCGCTGGCCCCTCTAACACTCTGGCTGTCAGACTTGGGACAAGTCCCTTAACCATTAAATATATTTGGTCCCCAAGAATGCTGGGAGAAGTCACTGGAAGGCTGCTGGACTTTCCAGCTTGACCCCAACAGCCTTGCTGTGGCAGGGGCAGGCTGTCCTTGGTAAAGGAGGGGAGGGGGCATTGCACTTGAGACGTTTTAGAATTGGGAGGGAGACAGTGGCCTGGGACTGGTGGGGAGGAATCCACTCCTCCCCACACCCAGCATTCTGTGCCCTGCACAGAGGTGGAGCCCCCAGGCCTGCTCTTTCCGGACCATCCAGAGCTACGGGAGGGGGAGGCCCACAGGGCACAGGGTGTGAGGTCACCACGTGTGATTGCCAACAGCAAAGAAAGGGGAGGAGTGGGGGCGCTGGTGGCAGAGGTCAGGGAGGCTGATGACTGCAGGGGTGTCCAACTACCAAATAGGCCTTCAGTCTGAAGAAAAATAGATTCATAGAAAACTCTGGCCCCTCCCCAGGGGCCTGCCCTCCTCGCCTCATCATCTTGTGCTTTTTGGCGAGAGGACTGAGGAGCCTGCTGGTCACTCTCTGCCTGGGCCCAGGCCCCTGTCTCTTTGGTATCAGATTCTGCGCGGGGGAGGGAGCTGGAAGGGGTTGCAGCAGAGGAAGCCAAATGCCCTCCACCACGCCTGGAGGGAGATGGGATGGGGGTGGGAGGCACGTTCACAGCAGTCCCAAGAAGGTCAGGGGAGGCGTGCTGCGGGGTCTGGGAAGGGGAGGCTGCAGGGTCCGTCTGTTCATCCATCTCAGGCTGCAGGAGAGGAGGCTTATTCGGCAGGTTTGGCCTCAGCTCCATCCGCTTTGCCGTCCACCTCCTCGTCTGAGCAATCGCCGGCACCTTTCCGGGCCATTCGGCGGGGCACGACAAATGGCAGGTCCCCACGCCTGGGGGCAGAGGCAGAGAGTCAGCGGGGCCTGGCCGGGGGCAGCTGCAGTGCAGTGCACACATCCCAAAGCCAATTTGAGAGGGAAATCAGGTGCCTGGCTGCTCCCACCAGGAAGAGGCAAGGCAGAGCCTTGGGACCCACAGCTCAGCTGCACAGGACCACTCTCAAAAAAACTTCCCGCAAAATATTTAGTGGTCAGACATCTTGACATACAGCAGTGGCACACACACTTCAGGCAAACAGGACCAGTTACAACAGGAAAGGCAGAAAAGTAAGTGTAAAATGTCACCTTCTGTTCCAACTCCTGTAAAACAGGTGACACCACTATGGGTACACAGGTGTGCCTGTTCACACAGGCACCTTCTTCCCACCACACGGCAGGAAATTCACATCCAATACTAACTACTTATGCTTAAAAAAAGGCCCAGCATAGTGGCGCATGCTTGTAATCCCAGCACTTTGGGAGACCGAGGCAGGTGGATCACCTGAGGTCAGGACTTTGAGACCAGCCTGACCAACTTGGTGAAACTCCGTTTCTACCAAAAATAGAAAAATTAGCCAGGCGTGGTGGCAGGAGCCTGTAATCCCGGCTACTGGGGAGGCTGAGGCAGGAGAATCGCTTCAACCCAGGAGGCAGAGGCTGTAGTAAGCCAATATTGTGCCACTGGACTCCAGCCCGGGCAGTAAGAGTGAAGTCTCCAAAAAAAAAAAAAAAAAAAAGATTCCCATGAAAAAGGTAAGAAATGAGAATCTCAGAAAATAAGATCCTCTGCTGCAAACGTTCACTACATTTGGAGCGTTAATGCTCCCTGAGAAATGCAAAGAAGCCTTTTTAACCTCTGTAGGCATTGTTCATGCAGGAAGTATTCATTCTGCAGGAATTTACCAGGCACCTAGTATGTGCCAGGACGGGGCCAGGTTGCCTTAAGCAACTTCTAATTCAAAAGACAATAGACTTTTAGGACAGGCTAGGGATAAATTCCCCTAGAGTTTCCTGTTTGTTCAGAAGGCTAAGCTAAAGCCTCAAAGGCAAGAAGGCAGAAGGGGCAGAGACTGCTTTGTGCTGTCCTTTCTTGGTGACATTAGTGCCTTGCTGTGGGCTCAGGCTGAGAAGCCTCAACAGGTTTCCCAGGAGCTAGCTTTGCTGAAGTGAGCTTTTCAGCACGGCTACCTTCCGACAGAAGGGGCGGCGCGGCTCACCTGAGCTTGTTCTTGAGGGAGCTGACCTCGCGGTTCATGGCATCGGCCGTCTCGGTGGCATCCTCCAGCTCGCGCTGCAGTTTCCGGCGGGAGGCGTTGGCCCGCTGGGCCTCCTCTTCCGCCTCCTCCAGCTGCCGCTTGAGCTGCTTCAGGCGCGTGGATGCCTTGTCGGCCTGCGGAGATGGATGTGTGATGCGGGACCCTGGTCAGGGGCTCTGGGCGTGCGGCCCGCCAGCCCCGCTGCCCCTCTCGGTGCCCCCAGCGCCCACACCTGGTCCTTGTACTGCTCGGCGTTCCTCCGCTCGTCATCCACCTGCAGCAGCATGTCCTTCAGCTTCTTCTCCGTCCGACGCACCTGCTTGCAGGCGGCCTGGCGCTCCCTGCGTGGTAGACGAGGTGGCTCAGAGGGAACACCCTCCTTTAGGGGGTCACGCCAACACATCCTGACCTGGACCACCCATTCCCTGGGCCTCACTGGCATCTAGGGATCACCTAGGGAGGCCTTTGCTAGACACCTACGATGTGCCTGGCTTCTTAAGAGGGGCACTGCAAATAGCCCCATTTACAAATGAGGAAACGGGCCTCAAAGAGCAGCTATGTAGCTGGAAAAGAGGTTTGGGGCCTGCTGTAACTCCCATTCTCCCCAAGGAAGTCTCAGTCCTGCTGAGCCCAGGGATCAGCTACCCTGGTGGGCAGGACCGCCCTCTACCTCCTCATCCTTAGACATAGCCACCAAAGCTCTTGGCTTTAGAGGTGGAACAGGTGATCCTGTTCAAAGCCCACAAGCTCCCCCCACCACCCACCCAGTGGAAGGGATGAGGGCCCCATCAGGAGGGAGGAAAATAGCCCCCAGGACTCAGGAGACACAGCTGGTTGCTGACCCAAATCTGGGCAGGACTATAGGGGGCTGGAGGTTTTTCCAGGACAGCTGGGGCAGGGCAGGAGCTCGTACTTGGTCTCGTTGTCCAGCTGCTCCTCCAGCTGTGCGATCTTGGCCTCGAGGGCAGTGATGGAGGCCTTGTACTTGGACTTCACAGTGCCCTCCATCTCCTGCAGCTTGACCTTGAGCTCCTTGTTCTGGCGCTCCAGCTGCTGCCGAGCGTTCTCGTTCTTCTGGGCGTGGCTGCGCTCCAGGTTCAGGTCGGTGTTGATCTGGTCGATCTGCAGAAGGAGGGCTGGTGACCTCGGGGAGGGCTGGGCCCTGGTTGGAGGGCACGAGCAGGGCCGGAGGAAGGTGGCAGCAGGATCCCACCACACCCTGAGGGTCCAGAGGCTTGGGTTTCCCAGAAAAAGCAGGATTAGAAACTTCTGAACACCCATCAGAGAAGCCAGAGGGTGATCTTTCCCATCCAGTTGCCTGGACATATTCCCTCAAGCGGCGGGGGAGCAGCAGCACGTGGCCTGTGTGTCTGCTGGCTGGGTCCGAGGCGGCTCCAGAGCCTAATGGGAGAAGGCTAGCTGGCGCTGGTACTCACCTGCAGGTTGGCCTTCTTCAGGCGGTCGTTGATCAGCTCCGTGTTGCCCTGCTCCTCCTCCAGCTCCTCCTCCAGCTGCGCGATGCGGGCCTCCAGACGCCGCTTCTCCTCCAACGCCAGGGCTCTGCGGGGTGGGCCGGAGGAATGAGGGGCCTGGCCCAGGGACACACCTGGTCCCTCCCAACTCTGCCCCCTCACTCCGCTCACCCTTTGCCACTGCTGTTGGCGATCTCATCGGCCAGCTCATCCCGCTCCTGCTGGGCCTGGCGCTTGGCACGCTCTGCGGCTGCCAGTTCCTGCCACAAAGATCCAGAATGTGACCCGAAGGCAGCCACAGCCCCTCAAGACCATCCTTCCCAGCCCCAGGCACCCTCCTCTCAAGCCCTTCCCCAGCTCCACCTCCCCAGAAAGCTCTTCCTCCAGGATTCCTCTAGCTCACAGGGCTGGTGCCCCCCTGAAGTCATAGCTTAAAAGCATTGTACGTTTATAAAACTCAACTATATTTAAGTGCTAGGAATCAAGCCAAGTGCCAGGGTGTGGTGGTGATTAACAAGTGTCCTGGCCTAACCAGGGGAGACCCCCGTGGACAGAGCCGCTCACTGCTGCCCCCTCCCAGGGCTGGGTGAGCCAGAGCCCGGAGTTGGCTCTGGAGCCTGCAGGCAGGAGACGGCTCACCCTGGATGCACTCACACCCGGCAAGTCACACTGCAGGGCACCTTCTACACCCAGGAAACACTTCAGGACTGGCTCAGGTGTGACGGGCAACACAGCAGGAGGTGGTGGCAGCCATGGAGCCTCATCTTATGTGAGGCATGCCAATTTCACTCACACACACTCTGATCATACCAGAGAGGCCCGCTATGTAACAGAACCCTGGAATCCTTTTGTAACTCGAGAGCTGTCCCCAGCCAATTCCTGGAGCTGAGTCGGACTCCAGCCGGGCCCTCTGCTGAAAGCCCCGTGCTGCCACCTGCTGGCTGCAGGGCAGCACTGCCGCTCTCCACTGCCGCCACACCCACCTCCTGCAACTGGATCATCTCGGCCTCCATGCTCTTCAGCTTCTTCTCGTTCTCTTTGGCCTGGGCCAGGATCTCCTCGCGGGAGGTGCGGGTGTCATCCAGCTCACGCATGCAGTCCTTCATCTGGGCCTGGGGCAAGGACAGAGGCTTGGCACCACACCCAGGTCCTTGGCCCTCCACCCCCACCCTCGCGCGTCACCTCACCCATAGGGCTGGTGCTCTGCTTGATGCTGTATTTAACCAACTAACCGTGGTGACAGGGAGAAAAAGCAACTGAAGACAAAAATCTCTGTCCCATCTCATAACACACACTTTGACAGTCTGGTCACTGTGGACGCAAGCCCAGGCTCAGCTTCATTTTCCATTTCTGTCCCCTCTGTGGGCCGGAGACCAGTGCCCACGGTGCCACCCCTAATGTGCACCTGCCGCTTGAAACCAGTGCCCAGCCTGCCAGGTGTCCCCACCACAGGCAGGAAACACCTTTCCTTTTGTTACCTCTTGTTTTAACGCTAAAGGTTTTTGTCAAATACTTTTTTTCCATTTGCAGATAACTCCAAAAAACAGATTCCCCAAGACAAATTGCATGACTGGGTGTGTGCAGCCAGACCACAGCAGTGGAAAATGCCCCCAGCAGAGTGTCTATTCCCCACGACCTTGCCCACAGCTAGCTTCTGCAGATTTTTTTTTCCAGGCACAGCGGCTCACGCCTGTAATCCCAGCACTTTGGAAGGCCGAGGCTGGCGGATCACAAGGTCAGGAGTTCGAGACCACCCTGGCCAACATGGTGAACCACTGTCTCTACTAAAAATACAAAAATTAGCCAGGCATGGGGGCATGCACCTATAATCCCAGCTACTTGGGAGGCTGAGGCAGGAGAATCGCCTTAACCCAGAAGGCGGAGGTTGTGGTGACCCGAGATTGCACCACTGCACTCCAGCCTGGGCAACAGAGCAAGACTCTGACTCAAAAAAAAAATTTATTTTGAACCTAGGGTTATTCTTGCTACATGATATGGCATATCAGAGCTGTTTTTATGTGTTCATTATTCTTTAATTATTGGTGAGGTGAAAATTTCCAAGTATGTATCCCACACTCTAGGCTGGGCAGATCCCTGGTGCCCCTTTCACAGTGTGGCAGGCAGGCTCCCGGCTGCCCCAGGGAACCATCATGCCGGAGCCCAGAAGGCTGGAGCGTCAGGATGCGGCTGATGCTGGGGTCTGCATTAGGTGAGGCCTTCCGCACTCCACCGTGTCTGGGCCTGTACTTGTCTGTTCGCTTCTATGTTTTATGTGCTCAGCCGTGCACCGTTTTGCAAGTTTGCTGTTGGACTATTGTGTTTCCACTCACCTCTGAGCCTCTGTGTCTCCATCAGTGAGATGGGGCTGGAGGCACCCAGGACCTCCCCAAGATGCGCCACCCTGCCAGGTCCCCGCCCCAGCGCCCGCGCATGTAGCCGCTGGGCGCCGCCCGCCCTCACCTGCAGCTTCCGCAGCTGCTTGATGGCTTCATCCCGGTTCTTGTTGGCCGAGTCGATGTGCGCCTCCAGGTCCTTCAGGTCCATCTCCAGCTTCTTCCGGGCGGCCACTGCCATCGAGCGCTGCTTCCTCTCGTCCTCCAGCTCTGCCTCCATCTCCCGCACCTGGGGGAAGGAACACCAACAGCTTGGGAAGCTGGACCCACTCGGAGACCCTGTCCCGGCTCTGAACCCAGGTGCCTCAGTCCAGTTCTGCAGGATCCGCAGGGCCTCCGGGGGCCAGTGGGGATCACTGACCCTAACAACTCTAAGAAGGTGAGTCGCTGACCCCCGAGACAGGGGACTGGACAGGAGGGACAGGGGAGGGGAGGCGTGGTCAAGGGCCCTAACACAATCCAGGTGGAAGGAGGGAACGTGAAGCCAGGGCAGCCCTGGCCACCACGGGGTAGCAGGAGCCCACGCACACCTGTCTGACCAGCTGCTTCTTCTTCTCCTCACTCTGCTCGTCCCGGCCCTGCAGGTCCCGCTCGAACTGGGCCTTCATGGCCTGCAGGTTGACCTCCAGCCGCAGCTTGGCGTCTTCAGTGGCCTGCAGCTCGTCCTCCAGCTCCTCCAGCTGGGTCTTCATCTCCTCCACCTGCTGCTCCAGAGCCCTCTTGGACTTCTCCAGCTCATGGACCTGAGCCCCAGAGTACCCAAGTCAGGAGCAAAGGGACTGGCAGGGACCTGGGTCTGCCAGACCCGGAACGTGTGCACGTGTTGACCCTCTGTGATGACCCCGCTCGGGCCCCTCCCAAGGCCTGGCTGCCGGGCCGGCACTCACGCTCTTGCCCACGTCGTCCTTGGAGCTCATGAGGTCCTCCATCTCCGTGCGGAACTGCTTGTTGAGCCGCTCCAGCTCCGCCTTCTGCTCCATGGCTTCCTCCAGGGCCCGGGCCAGCGACAGCGCCTTGGTCTCCTTCTCTCGGGCCTCAGCCTCAGCCCGGTCACGCTCCTCTGCGTACTTGGCAGAGATGGTCTTCTCCTCTGCCAGGAGCTGGGAAAGAGGGGGGCACCGTGAGGCTCAGCACCGTAGGCTCAGAGCTACGGCCCCCAGCAGGGCAGGGCAGCTGGGCCCAAGCTCCCTGGGGAATGAGGAAGCCAGACACCACGGCGGAGAGGAGCAGCCAAGGAGGAACAGGCCCAGGGCTGTGCTCGGGTCCACACACACAGTCCAGTGCATCCTCAGGACTGGATGACCGGCCAGGGGCAGGCACTACCTCTAATGCCATGTGGTAACGTCTGTTGAGTTTTTATCACTTACTAATAATAATCCCCTGTATGGGACACTGGCCCTTCCATGAGAGCCCTCCAAACCTGGAAAAGCTTTGGTTCTCCTGAACCAACGTTGGCATTTGGTTGGCATTTTCCATGAAGCGAATACCAAGCTGGCTGCCCAGACGCCTGAACCCCATTTGTGGTCCCCTCTAACGACAGCGTCAGTCCCCTGGCATCCATCCTCCACCTGTACCCACCTGGCTCTATCCTACTTTCCCACCTTCCCCTCCCTTTCCCCAAACCTTAATTATTCCGTGGGTTGCTGGTTGCTGATCATTTCCTAAACAGCCAGAGAGTTCCTTTTTCCCCCTGAACGGAGTCTCTCTCTATTGCCCAGGCTGGAGTGCAGTGGTGCAATCTCAGCTCACTGCAACCTCCGCCTCCCAAGTTCAAATGATTCTCCTGCCTCAGCCTCCCGAGTACCTGGGACTACAGGCATGTGCCACCACACCTGGCTGATTTTTGTATTCTTAGTAGAGATGGGGTTTCACCATGTTGGCCAGGCTGGTCTCGAACTCTTGACCTGGTGATCTGCCCACCTCGGCTTCCCAAAGTTCTGGGCTTATAGGCATGAGCCACCAAGCCCAGTCAAGAGTGCATTCTTTAGAGCATGCAGGCCCCACAGTCTCTGCAGCAACAGCTCAACCCCACTACCACAGCGCAACAACCAGAGACAACACAAGAACAACAGACTGTGTGTGCGTTCAGTCCAGCTTTCTCCACAAAATGCAGTGGGCTGGACCCGGCCACCGCAGCTGCATGCCCGATGTTCACATCCCGCCCCGGTATTCCCATCTCCCTCAGCTTCCCTCAGATCCTTTGGAATAAGGAAGCAATATGAATGTATAAATAAATGGTTTAAATGACGGTAAAACCAGTTCATTATAGAAAATCTGAAAAAAATGTGAAAACCCAGAAAGGAAAAGTTCCTCCTCAACCCACTGCATGAAGACACCTTCTTCCGCTGGCCTTCTCTCCCAGCCCCTCAACAAGCCAGAGACTAGGGGACCTCTAAGTGCTGGCCCCACACGGCCCCTCCTGGGCAAGGTCTCAAGGGAGCCCAGGCTTTCTCTGATGAGGCCCTCAACTTGGGCTCAGTGCTGGAAGGAGAGGAAATGCCAAGGATGGGCGGACGGCCACACACCTGGTCAAATTTCTTCTGCTTCTTCTCCAGGTTGCACGCAGTCTGGCGCTGGTGGTCCAGGTCCACAAGCAGGTCGTCCAGCTCCTGCTGCAGCCGTGTCTTGGTCTTCTCCAGCTTGTCGTAGGCGGCCACCTTCTCCTCGTGCCGCTGGCTCAGGCCCTCCAGGTCCTTCTGGAGCTTCCTCTTCACCTCCTCTGCGGTTTCCAGGCACCCCACACTGTCCTCCATCTTCTTCTTCATGTCAGCCACCTGGGCAGGAGCAAGGAGTAAGCAGACGCCCGAGATGGCACCTGCTCAGGTGACACACCTGTCCCTGGGGCAGCTGGGAGCCTGCCTGCCACACTGTGAAAGGGGCACCAGGGATCTGCCCAGTTATGAAACTGCCTCCTCCAGTCACTTCCCTCTCCATGGGGGCAAGACAAATGGAGTTTCTGCAGAAAGACATCCATCTAGTGCATGAAGCTGAGGGGAGGCTGACCCCTAGGCCTGCTGTGGGGACTCCCAGCCCTCATCCACACCAAGCCTCTTGCTCTCTGGAGACCGTTCCCAGAGAACAAGGCCAGTGCCCTGTGGGGGTGTACACAGCGTCCCCATCACTCAGCCCTCGCATCTGCAGATAAACCTGCAACCACATGCGCTCGAAGGCGACTCCTACCCTGGCTTTGGAATGAACTCCCAGCCCATCCCAAGGTGGTTCAGGCCTTCTGGGCTACCACGTGGAGGCCTAAGATAGGATCTAGGACAGGTGCCCTGACATTAGTCTGTGGACCCCTTGACAGTCTAGAGAGGCCTAGGGACTCCTCATGACAATGTTTTAACAGGCATGAAATAAACATAAGGGATCACCCAGGCAACCAGTACAGAAAAATGCAGTTGTCACACATTCTAAACACTGGCTCAGGAAGCCACGTGATGCCAGCATATCAGACAGCAAACTCAGCGCAGGCCTGGCAATCACGAGGCCAAGGAGCTCGGCCACGACCCTAACAGGGTAACTGGCCATTTCTCCAGGTGACAAGGGCACAGGGACTGCCAGCACCATGGCTTGCGGCTACATTCATAATGGAAGCAGTGCTACATTCTAGCTAGACTGGCGAAAATAAAGCATAAAATAGCAGTGAAAATAGTGGTGTCCCCCATCTAAGTCCACAGACCCCTGGATTCCTCCCCTAGGGACTCAGGCTGAGAGTACTGACATGGGACAGCAGGGAAGACTTCCCTGGGGGAGAGGGCAATGGGCTGGCCCAGTGGGCAGGCTGTCCTGCGGTGCCCAGGCCAGCAGCTCCCCAGCCTACAGAGTCCGGCCAGTTCCCTGGGCCTCCAAACCTGGGCGTGGAGGGTGGCGATCTGCTTCTCCAGGTTGTGCTTGGCCTCCTCCTCCTCCTCCAGCTGCTCCCGGAAGGAGTTCTTCTCATCCTCCACCTGCTTGAGCTTGGTGCTCAGGCTCAGCTTCTGCCGGTTCTCCTCTTGCAGCAGCTCCTACTCCCGGGATGAGATGGGTGCGGGCGCTCAGGAGAGCAGTTTCTGCCCCAGGGACCCCACACCCTTGAGGGAGGAGCCGGTCCTGCCGATTCTCGGGATGGCCACATAAAGACCTGGTGGGAGCTGGGAGGACACAGAGACCGCCCCCCCAAGATGAAGAGGAGGATGGGCAATCTGATGGGCGCTGGAGCTAATGTTGTATAGGCACAGGGGCCTTCCTGGAGGAGTCCACCTTCCGGGAACCTGGCGCCACCCTTACCTGAGTGTCCTGCAGCTGGGACTCCAGCGCGGAGAAGTCCTTGGTGAGCTTGCTGGACTTGCTGTCGGACTGGCTGAGGAGCCCGGTCACGTTGTCCAGCTCCACCTGCACCAGGCAGGCAGACATGGAGGACCATGAACCCGGCCCCACCGCTCCAGCCCCACCTCGGCTCCTTGAGGTAAAGCTGGACCTGAGTCACGAGCTGAACCGTGAGGGCCTCCCTCAGGAGCCAGTGTGAGTAGAGAGAGACAGAGAGCACGCGTGCACCCGGGGGTCTGGGCCACGACTACTGCCGGGGCCCACCACATGCACTGGGGTCCCGGCGGAGGCCTCACCTGCAGCTTGGTGACCTTGTCGGCCAGCTCCGTGCGCACGCGCTCTCCCTCGTTGAACTTGACCTGCAGCTCCTGCAGCTGCGCCTCCACTTTCTTGCGCTTGTGCTCCGAGTCCCCTTTGCCCTGCAGCAGCACCTTCACCTCGTTGGCCAGCTCTCCCCGCTCGTTCTCCAGCGTCTGCTTGGCCTTCTCGAGATTGGCTTTCACCTGGTGGGAGAGAAAACAAAGATGTGAGTGGGGTGTCTCCTGACACGAGGCTGGCTGGCCTCTCGTCACTGGACCCTACAGCCAGACACTCCCTGCTCCTGCAGCCCCGACGGCGGTGCCAGCTGAACTCAGAGGGCTCAGGCTCCATCCGTCTGGCCTCTTCTCCCTTAGCTGGTAAGTGACACTTGGCTCCCGTCTTCACTACCGAGAACCTCAGCTTCCCCATCTCTAAAAATCCCTGCCCAGCCTTCTGATCTTAGCAATATTTATAACGCAATGAGGGGAACTATAATTGCTTGTAGTTAGACTGCCAATAAAGTCTCTTTGAAGTTTGATGTTCAAAGTAACAATGCAATGTTTTCACTCTCAGATAACCACATGGAACAGATCTATCATAATCCCCCCCTTATGAACAGGGAAACTGAGGCACAAGTCACACGGCCCCTAAGAAGGGAAAACTGGCCTCAGAACCAGATAGTCGGGATGGACTCTGTTAACTGCTCTGCAGGACCGGTTTGGAGACTGGGGACCCAGCACTGGGGACCCTGCCTTCCCCTGGCAGTCTCGGGGTTGGGGGGCTCTACCCAGCACAGGGGACCCCGCCTTCCTTCCCGTGGCAGTCTCGGGGGCACTCAGCACCAGCACGGAGGCCCCACCTTCCCCTGGCAGTCTTGGGGGGGCTCTGCCCAGCACAGGGGACCCCGCCTTCCCCTGGCGGTCTTGGGGGGGGGCTCTGCCCAGCACAGGGAACCCCGCCTTCCCCTGGCAGTCTCGGGGAGGCTCTGCCCAGCACAGGGGCCCTGCCTTCCCGCAGTGGTCTCGGGGGGCTCCGTACCCGCTTCGTCTGCTCCAGCTGCTCCGCCAGCTCTTCCACGGCTTGCGAGTGCTTCTGCCTCATCTCCTGGATCTGGGCCTCATGGGTCTTGGCCTCCTCCTCCAAGGTCTTCTTCAGGATGTTCACCTCCTGCTCACGTTTCGACCTAGACAGAGAGATCCCCTTAGAGTGGAGGCCGGGGGCACTGGAGTGAGCTGTTCCTGGGGCTCCCCTGACCGAACAGAGGCCTGGCCAAGCACAGGCACTCCAGGCAGCTCTTCTACCCATCAGTCCCTCCTGGCCATCCATCCCACGGCCCGGGCTCAAACACGCATTGTGAGAGGCCTTTGTAGCCTTTTAGCTTTAAAGCCCACCCTTGCTTCACCCCCAACTTTGAGCTAGGTTCTTCAACAGCCTTTCTACTCTGTAGAAAGAAACCACTGAGAAATCAATAGCTTCCATGCCTGCTGACGCTTAACAAGGCCACGGTGTGTGTGTGCAAAGACCCAAGATCCATGCCTCCAAGCCAAGGCCTCCCTGGCTGCCTTCCCCATCCCCAGGGACTTGGCCCCAGGGCACACCTGAGCTCCTGCTGGGCAGCCGTGGAATCCAGCGTGTCCTCCAACTCTGTTTTCAGCGCCTCTAGCTCTTCCCCAAGGTCCCGTTTCTGCTTCTCAGCTTTATTCCTGGAAGCACGCTCAGACTCCAGGTCTTCCTGGAGTTCAGAGATCTGAGATTCCAGCTCCCGGATCTTCTTTAGGGCCATGTTCTTCTGGGCAGCTTCTTCTTCCACTCTGCCAAAGCAACCAACAATATCAGGATGAGGCCAGTTTCACCTCCAAGGAACAGCGTTTGCAGGAGTTGCCTGAGAGAGATGCAGCAGCCAAAGCTGCCTCTGGCGGTCACAATCACAGCACTTAGGACCACTCTCAGCAAAAACAACAACTGAGGCAACCAGATTTAAGGGCAATACCACTCAGAACTAGAAAACCTCAGAGAGGAATTGTTTCCATTTCCAAAGTAAGATTCACTGCTTCAAATATTTTTAAAACTCAAATTATTTATTAAATGGGAAGAAAAGGAAATAAAATACTACACCACAGAATGACTGCAACTAAATAAAAATACAAATGTGCTATGGAGTTTAGATGGTTATGACGGAGCAACATAAATTCACCAATTAGAACAATTAGAAATTAAGGGACTGGGTACGGTGGCTCACACCTGTAATGCCAGCACTTTGGGAGGCCAACAATGGGCAGATCACGAGGTCAGGGGATTGAGACCATCCTGGCTAACACGGTGAAACCCCGTCTTTACTAAAAATACAAAAATTAGCTGGGAGTGGTGGTGCACACCTGTAGTCCCAACTACTGAGAAGGGTGAGGCAAGAGAATTACTTGAACCCAGGAGTCGGAGGTTGCATTGAGCCAAGAGAGTGCCATTGCACTCCAGCCTGGTGACAGAGCAAGACTCCGTCTAAAAAAAAAAAAAAAAAAAAAAGGAAAGAAATTAAGAAAGGAAAGGACTATTGTAGATGGATGATAAAGCTGTGGATGACTTTTTTCAAATTATAAACAAAAGACAAATGAGGTTCCTCACCGTGCCCTGAATGCACAAGAACCATTTTGCTATGAAATAAATGGCTCTTCTAAGACAATAGGGGAAAGAATGCTCACAGCTCACTGGTGCAGAGAACCAGGGCTGGCAGCAAGCAGAAAGGGCTGTCCCGGCCATCTGGGCTTGGGCAGGCGGGGGCCTCACCTGGCCAGGGCCGGCAGCAAGCAGAAAGGGCTGTCCCGGCCATCTGGGCTTGGGCAGGCGGGGGCCTCACCTGGCCAGGGCAGCCTGGAGCTCCTCTTCTTTCTTGGCCAGCTGCATCTTGAGCTCCGCAATCTGAGCCTGGAGCTCGGCGATCTGGTCACTGAGGTCCGTGGAGTCTCCCTCCAGCTTCCGGCGTGTCTTCTCTAGCTCCTGCCGCTGCTTTTCCTCCCTGCGGAGGCGCTCTGCAAGAAGGGAGCCCACACAGCCCTCAGTGCCTTGGGCTCTTCTGTCTCCATGTTAATTACTTACAGGAAATACTGAGTCCTCGTTATGAAAAGTGTGTAAGGCTCAAGACATCACAAATACACAGACACTTGTACCCAACTCCTAGATGCAGGAAGAGGACATCAAGGCAAACTGCCAGCCCCTGGCATGTCACTCTCCACCTCACCCCTTGTCCTTCCCTGCCAGGAGTTAAGTACTCTCCTAAAGCTGGCGTTCATAATTCCCTGTTTTCCCTTGAAGGCTGTACCATGTCTGTATCTCTAAAAACTACGTTCAATTTTGTGTGAATCTGAACTTACGTAATGGAACTGCCTTGTGTGAATTCCACAGTTGGAACTGCAGAGTCAGGGCTCAATGTCTAGCTTTATAACTCTGTGATGTCACTTAGGAAAGCTACTTTCAACACCTCTTTGACGACCTACTTCATTAGGCTCCTGTGAGGTGCCAGTGAGTTACATCTTAAAACGCACCGACAACAGTGCCTGGCCCATCTAAGGTCGGCAGTGGTTATTCCCCGTCGGGCCTCTGCCGCCCCATTTCATGATCTTGAGATTTAGCCTGTGAAGTTTCGCCGGAAAAGATTTGTATGGACGTTTGCCTACCATTCCATGATGTGCACACACCACAACTTATTTATGCACCCGTCCTGCAGCTGGCAGGCATGGGCTGTGTTCATTGCACGCTCTAATAAGCAATGCTGCTGCGAGCGCCCTGCTCACTCTCAGTGCACGTGGCTGAGAGTGACGGACGGAACGGCCGGGTCACTGGCTTGCCCAGCTTCAACCTCGCTAGGGCTGCCCGATCGCCCTCTGACGTTGTCTACCAGTTTGCAGTTCCAGCAGCAGCGTGTGTGCGCTCTGACAGCTCCGTATCTGTGTTAGTGATTATCAGTGTCAGCCTTTCATGTCTGTCCATCTGGTGGGCGTCACCCCTAGACCTCCTGGATGCTGAGTCTTCCAGCCCCTCCCATGTGAGGGAGGGCATCTGTGGGGGAAGAGATCTCTCTGTGTCTGGACCTCTCTCCCACTGGATGACCTGACTCACCTCATCTCCTGCAGATGTGACGGGGCCAGACAGGGCAGTAAAACTGAGCCGGGGAAACTCCTCCCAGTGGTCAGGTTTTGGCCTCCCTCCCCCGGGTGCGAGCTCAGAGTCCCCACCGTGGTCTGGGTTCTCCTGTTTCCCCAGCTGTCCACTCCTCTCAAGGGGCAGAGGTGGGGGTCTGCAGACAGCCACAGACCTGTGCTTCTACCCCAGTCCCCCGTTCCTGCCACAGATCCCCAGGGCACAGAGAGACAAGGCAGGATTTGTCACCCTGCCCCAAGTCAAGCAATGAGTTCCTGTAACATCTGTCTAGCACTTTACGGTACATACGTGTTCACATGTATTTAATGAAATCCTCACAGACACCTTAGCACTGTGTCCCCTTTTTAGGTGAAACTAAAGCTCATGGAGCTTAAGTAAAAGCTGAGCCAGCTCGTCAGTGACAGAGCCAGTGAATCCTGTAGGCCAAAACCAGAGCCTCCTTGGAAGTCTCAGAAGCTCCCCAAAACCCACGCTGCATGACAACAGGGGAACACCAAGGCTCTCCTAACACGTTTCACACTGGGGAGCATCTAGCCACAGGGCAACAGGGGCCTGGAAGCCCAGGCTCCCGCAGGCACCAGACACAGCTCCCCTCGACCTGCTGACCTTGGGTCTGAAGGGCAGCAGCCAGTGGTGCTGTGTGGCCCAGGCTCACCCATGAGCTGAGGGCGCCTCGGTGTTCCAGTCTCAGGCCAGCCCCTGCCCACCAGCCCCCTGCCCGTCACCTCCCTCACCTTCCAAGTCAGTGATCATAGCCTCATGCTTGTTCTTGAGCTTGGCAAGGCTCTTAGATTTCTCTTCCTCTTCCATGAGGTTGGTGGTGAACTCAGCTATTCTGTCTTCCAGCAGTTTCTTTTCCTGGGGAGAGGGAGGGAGGTCGGCGTTTAGCGTCAGTAGAGCACGGAACACTTCAGCTCTCCTCAAAGCATGACTTGCCAGGAAATTCTGGGCTGAATGGAGAGGGCTTTAGACACCTGATCAAATTCATTAGGATTTCCTGGATCAAAGGGTGACTTTGAAAGGTCACCAGCTCTCCTGCAACAGCAAGGTATGCTTCCTCAGAATCAGAAAATGTGGGTGCCCAGGCCCTTCCCCTGCCCCCATGGGCTTGGGTGAGAAAGGTTTCCAGGTGACAGCTAGTATCAGCAGGAACAGATGGCTCCAGGCCTTCAAGAGGCTGCCATGCAGCGCTCACCTGCGCCACCAGGCCATCTTCTCCGTGCCCCACTCTCACCTGCCAGGTGGGCCATGGCCTCCCCGTTCCCCAGCCCCGCAGTGCCCCGGGCTGCTCTCCTTGCTTTCTGCCCTGTGTGGCCTCCGCAACACCCCTGCCCAGGTGCCACGGCTCGGCACAAGCATCTCAGTCCCCTCGTCCCAGTCCCGGGTGGGCGTTCTGCCACCTCAGCCTCCCCACCCTTCGGTGAGGACACAGGAGCCCCAAAAGGTGGGGAGGCCGCCTTCTCCTGCTTTCTCCTCTAACTCATTCCCAGGCTGCCATCTACTCCCCGGGCAGACACTGACAGGGACACAACTCGTTCTCAGGAGGAACAGCTGCTGCCCAGGGACAGCGGAGGAGAAGTACCCCACATCTCAACACAGAGCCACCAAGGTGCCCCCAACCCCACAGTGACCAACACTTGCAATGCTGCACACACGGCCAGCTTTACAAAGGCTTGGGTCTCACAGCTGGCAAAGAAGAGCTCTCCAGAGGCGAAAGGACAAGCCCTCCCAGGGCCCCTTCCATTTATGAGAAAAATCTCTCCACTAAGGCCCATGGGACCTCCAGGGAGCACCTGCAGCTGAGCAGAAGCCTCCATGCTGCAGGCAGAAAAGACAGGAAGCAGCAGTGGGGGCCAGAGCCCTGCAAGGCAACCACACTCTCCCACCCACAGCCCCCGTGGAGTGGCAGCAGATGGCGGCCACAGGCCTCACCTTGGCCAGCTTGCAGTTCTGGTCCTCCATGATGATCTGCTCCTCCTCCAGCTTCTTCAGCTTCGCCTCGGTGGTCACCTTCTCCAGCTGCAGCTTCTGCCGGGCGCTCTCCTCCTCCTCCAGCTGCTCCTCGAGCTCCTGCCAGGGCCACAGACACGGTGAGGACAGCAAGCCCAAGGGTATGGCCAAGGCAAAAGCAGCAAGGTCCAAAGGTCAGGGCCACGCCAAGGTGAGGATGGCCAGATCTGTGAGCCCAGGGCCATGGATGAGGTGGGGAACGGCAAGATCCATGAGCCCAGGGCCACAGCTGAGGCGGGGCCCAAGCCCGATGTGCAGCATTCCAGATTTCAAACTGGGACAAGGGGCCAGAACCCCATTGCCATGTTCTGAAGGGTTTCCTGGAGCAAGCTCCCACCCATGGAACAGGCAGGAGGCGGAGCTGCTGGTCTTGCGTACCTCCAGCTAGCCAGGGCCCGGGCTGATGGCAGGGAGATCAAATTGGCCTCGATGCTGGCCCAGGCACTGCTCATGGAGATCTTAGAGGTACACGTCACAAACCACCAGCCCAAAGAGAACACCCCTCACTGAGTGCCCCAAGCAGACAGTGTGAGGAGCTGGCCTCCTCGGATGACCCTGATTCCATGTTCTCCCAGGTCCTGGTCCCTGCTCCTCTGCCCCGCCCTGCCCCTCAGACCCCGCCCCTCCCTGGGCGCAGCGGGCGGGCACCTGGATGTTCTGCTGCATCTTCTTCTTCTCTGCCTGCAGGTGCTGGCAGCGCTCCTCCTCCTCCTCCACCCTGGCCTCGAGGTCATGGCAGATCTCTTCTAGCTCCTGCTTCTTGGCGGTCAGGCGGGCCCGGAGCTCCTCAGCCTCAGCACACAGCTCGGTTTCTGCCTGGAGCTGCTCCTGCAGCTGCAATTTCTCCGCCATGAGCTGCAAACAAGTGGAAAACACAAGCTCCTTGCAACACCCTCAAGACACTCCATCCTCTAGGACAGACGCTGTGGCTCAGGATCCCAGCGGGAAAGGAACATGCAGACAAGAGTAGCTTTCATCTGGAGAGCTCTGAAACTTCCACACACTTTCCAGACATCCTGTCTTTTACTTTTCACTACTCCATGGGCGCCACACCAAGGTCCCTGGAAACGGGCTCAGGTCATGTGGTAGAGCTGAGGCTTGACCCCAACGCTGGTGAACTTTCCATCCTATTAGGTGGCCTCCCTACATCACATAACCCCAAATGGGGTCTGCAGAGAGACTGATCTCTGTTCCTATAGTAACAGGAAATGCAGTTGTAATAAACTTCTATAGTAATCGAAGCTGCCAGCCTGCCATGACTACTGATGGCCAGGAGGTGGCAGTACTAGGCAGGCGGCAGGGCAACCTGGACGGAGCCTGTGCAGACACCCACCTGAGACTGCAGGGTCTCCATCTCCGTGAGCCTGTTCTCCGCAGCCAGCTGCTTCTCTCGGACCTTCACCAGCTCCTCCTCCTTGGCCATCATCTCCTCCTCCTGCCGGCTCACCTGCAGCAGTGGCTTGACCTGGGAAAGGAGATGGAGGTAGATACATGGAAGACGGAAAATGCCCACCTCTGCCAACAGGTGTGAGGCTGCTCCCTCACCTCTGAAACACGACAGTGGGGGCAAGAATAAGACACGTGGTGGGGGCAGCTGCAAGCGGGCACAGCCTTCCTGGAAATCGATTTGGCGCTCTGTACCATGGGCCTCTTACCCGCTGCCAACTACATTCCAGGGAAACCATCCCTGAGTGTGTGTGAAGACATTCACCTCAGCAGTGTTCATAATAGCAAGAAAACTAGGAAGGAGCCATCTCTAAAAAAGTACCCAGATAATGACGTGTCCCCCAGGGAAGAGTACACTACCTCTAAAAAAACGTTGCTTATGAAGGAATCGTAAATGGAACGTGCAAACTGCAGCACTGTTTATATGAGTCAATCTCAGCTATGGAAGAATGTATACGGTTTACATAGCTGAGGTTTTATAGGCAGTGAGAAAGAGAGCGAGAGAATAAACATAAAGTAACGGACGCTGTTGGTTTAGGGTGAAGGGCTTACGGATGAGTTTTTACTTCATTTTTATTTGTTAGCTGGATTTTCGCAATTACCGTAAATTACGTATTATACACAAAAGCAGCCTAGACAAGTTTAAAAATAAAGGGATTTTTTTTTTAAGGCCAGGAAGGCCAGCCTGGGCAAGATAGTGAGGCCTGGCACTATCTTGTCTCTATTAAAAATCGGAAAGGCACAGGCACAGTGGCTCATGCCTCTAATTCCAGCACTTTGGGAGGCTGAGGTGGGAGGACTGCTGGAGCCTAGGAGTCTGTTACCAACCTGGGCAACATAGTGAGATTGCACCGCTACAAAAAAATACAAAAATTGCCAGGCACGGTGGCTCAGGTCTGTAATCCCTGCACTTTGGGAGGCCAAGGCAGGCAGATCACAAGGTCAGGAGTTCGAGACCAGCCTGGGCAACATGGTGAAATCCTGTCTCTACTAAAAATACAAAAATCAGGTGGGCGTGGTGGCACATGCCTGTAATCCCAGCCACTTGAGGCTGAAGCAGGAGAATCATTTGAACCCAGGAGGCGGAGGCTGCAGTGAGCTGAGATCATGCCACTGCACTCTAGCCTGGGTGACAGAGTGAGACTCTGTCTCCAAAACAAACAACAACAAAAACTACAACAATTAGCCAGGTGTGTGGTGGTGTGCACCTGCAGTCCCAGCTACTCCAGAGGCCCTCCTAGCACTCACCTTGGTGAAGAGCCGCCACCACTGCCAGTTCCGCAGCTTGAGGTAGGCAGCACAGTTCCGCTGCAGAACCTTCATGGCCGTTAGCTGCTGCTGCCGTTTGGCAAACGCTCTGCGGGGTGAGGAACACGGTCAGCACCACAGGGCAGTGGACAGCAGACCTGACCTAACAGTCCAGGCCTTGTCCTCAAGGCTTTTCTGGGGGGGTCTCTATCCCTGCCTGGGGCACCTCAAGAAAAAAATTCAGGGAGGGGGCCCAGCCTTGGGTTGAGATATGTTCCTCCCACTTACAGCCTGTGTGACCCAAGAGGCACTAATCTTACAGTGGGCGGGGAACCTAGGTCACCAGACTACCCCTTCACAGAGGAGCCCACGGAGATGAAGGCCCATGTGAGGTAACCACAGATCCTACTCAGCGTGGGATTGAGCATGACTCCTGGTCTTGAAGCTGACTGGCCCCAGGCAACTCTGGACTTCAGCTTCCCACCCTTCGTGCTGTCCCCTAATCTGAGCTTTTGTTTGGTGGGAGAACGTCAGGAGCTGATGTTCTGCAAAGGTGGGCTGCAGGTGTCAGCTGGAGGGCTTCTGGATAAACAAGGCCCCATCTGTGCAAATGCCACACATGCAGGCTCCATCTTCCAGAGCCCGGCGCCCCGGCTGGGACCCTCATTCTGGAGCACAAGGGGACAAGGATGCAGTGCCCACAGCCGCTGTCCTGCGGCACGGGAGCCCTCGCTCCCCAGGGAGTCGTTCTGGACTTAAGGATGACCTGCTCCTCTGGAACCACAGGGTCCTTTAGGGACAGGCAAGCTCTGGGTGCTGTCCCCACAAGGGTGACACGGTGAGTAGTCCTGACGAGCAGGACCTTTCAGGCAGGCAAATCCGAGTAGAACCACCCTCTTCCCACGCATCACTCTAAACCTCACATGTCTGATTCAGCCGGGCATGGTGGCTCATGCCTATAAGCCCAACACTTTGGGAGGCTGAGGCGGCCGGATCACCTGAGGTCAGGAGTTCGAACCTGGTCAACATGGTGAAACCCCGTCTCTACTAAAAATACAAAGATTAGCCAGCTGTGGTGGTGCGCACCTGTAACCTCAGCTACTAAGGAGGCTGAGGCAGGGGAATCGCTTGCACCTGGAAGGTGGAGGTTGCAGTGAACTAAGATTGCGCCACTGCACTCTAGCCTGGGCAACAGAGTGAGGCTGCACCTCAAAAAAAAAAAAGGAAAGAAAGAACTGCCCAGTTCTATTCCTCAGAGGTAGAAATCCAGGAGCAGGGGCAGAAAGAGCCATGTGGGCCTCCCCAACAGGCACGTGACTGGCTGCAGTGGGATGTCCTAGACCACGGCTTGCTACATGCGCTTTGGCCACCGAAGGGCATTGCAAGGCCTGGCGTGTGGGGCAAGAGTATCTCCCGGGACTCACTTCCTGGCCAGGTAGCCCCTGCAGCAGGCCTGGAACCCTATGATGACGTCAGTGATCTTCAAGTCCCGCTCCTCCTCCAAGTGGGCCAGCACACCAGCGCGGAAGAAGACTTTGCTCTGGCCGATGCGGTACAGGTTGCTGTCGAGCTCCAAGGCTTTGATCTAGGTGGGAGGAGTAAGCTGTTTACCTGGCTCCATGAAGGAGCAGCCCAGGCACAGCTGGAGGCGCGCCCTTCATCCTTCTTCCCACTGGCTGATGAGCATCTGGAGAGCAGAAAGCCATCTCCTCTCCCTCCTTCTTCCTGTCCCCAATCTCCCTGTCACTGAATGCAGGCTTTGCACATAGTAGGTGCTGAATTTTTCCTTCTCTTTTCCTCCCCCCAGCACCCCACTCTGCAGCCAATGCTTTCTGATTCTTTAGAAAGAAAGTGAAGTAAAACGAGGCCAAAGGTAGCGGCTGCTAACCCTGGACACGCCAGAAAAAACAGGATGCTGGGAAGGGGAAAAATGGACCAGGGTTGGCTCTGAGTCACTGCAGGTCTTTCATTCAACCAGAACTCGGAGCACTGCGCTAGGGCTGGGAGTGGGGAGGGAGGGACAGGGAAGCTCAGATCATGGCGCAGCAGGCCTGCTGCCCTGGCTGTGAGCTACCCTGCTCGCCACGCTGGGTGTGGAGTCAGGCCCGTGAGCAAGAAAGCAGGAGAATGTCCCTCAAACGGAAGAGGCCGTGATCCCTCATCAGAGCCTGGCCGTGCCCACCGTTCCGGTCTCCTCCACACTACCCTGGTGCCAAACACCAACCCTGGCTATCTGAGGCCAAGGGGCTAGTGCATAGGGTGCCTGGCAGAGTCAGACCTGGAGCATCAGAAGGGACACAGCCTGGGCATCCACCCACCACACAGTGCTGATACAGCAAGGCAGGCCCTGGCCATGCGGGCACTCCCCAGCCAAGGGGCCATCCATCCAGAGAGGCAGGACTGCAGCTCGACTCACCATGAGCACGCACGCCTGCTTCCCGTCCATGAAGCCCTTGGGAATGGAGTTTGGGGTCAGGATCTCGTATCTGAGGAAGGAAAGAGAAGCCTAGTCATTTTGCCCATTGCCTCAATTCCACGTGCCTGGAATATAGGCGAGAGGTTAAGATCATTCTTACAGTGCAGCAGACATAGAATTCTTTACACAAACTCTCGTAAGGAAAGAAGACACAGGCAAACCCCCACCCTGCTCTTTTCTTAGGCTGAATGACACAAGGAAAGCTTGGTGTTTTTTGGAAAGTGCATGGAAACTCAGGTAGGACCGTTTTAATCACTCGGGTGTGCTTCAGATTGGGCTTGCTCACTGCTAATTGCCTGGGGTCCTCATCTGTCACCCAGGGACAGCCACGCTCACACAGCTTCCCTGGGATGCTGCAGGGGGCTGCTACTAAACAGGGATGGCCCAAAAATAAATACAGGGCTGCATCCCGACAGCCACTGATACTCAGAAAGAGGGAGGTGTCATACTGCCTTTGACTTTCATTTCCACAAAGTTTCTGTAATATCCGTCTCTGGCTGATTCTTTTTTGTATCATTATTATACTTTACGTTCTGGGGTACATGTGCAGAACGTGCGATACACGCGCCAGGGTGGTTTGCTGCATCCATCATCCCGTCATCTACATTAGGGATCTGGCTGATTCTTTTGCATTTCTTTTCATAGCTCCTCTACCTATAGCAAATAGCACCAGGGCCTGCACTTACTAGGAGCAAAAGTCAGCATGATGATGATGACCTGGATTTCAGTATGAAAATGGGATGTCTCCTCTCATGCAAAGGGTGGAAGACAGAAGGAAGTGGGGGAAAGCTGGCCAGACTCAGTTCTATGTGGATGCAGGACGTAGCTCCCTCTCGACAGGTCTGTGCCAGGGACGAGCCCAGCTCTGGGAGTCACTGCACGCCCAGCTGGGCCCAGGGGAAGCGGGCTCTGGGTGCTGGCTTACCTCTGCCGAAACTCCTGGAAGACCACCCTGTTGGGGAAGCCCTGGCGGCAGATGCGGATGCCCTCGAGAACGCCGTTGCAGCGTAGCTGGTCCAGCACAAGATGCGGGTCCAGCTTGCCGGCCTAGGAAGAAAACGCACACATGCGGTCTAGCTTCTGCGCCGAGGACAGTCGGAGAAAGGTCAGGCAGCTCCTGTGACCTTGACAGGGCAAGAGTTCGAGAGAGGGAGTCGCTGCAGCCCACAAGTTTTGACAATTAAGTCAAAGGATCCAGGTCTGGGAGAGGCTCCACAGAGCCAATGTCAGCAAGAGGAAGAGCAGGCTATGAATGCAGCGTATCTCCTAAGCGAGCCAAGGTCCACCCCTGCAGAGACACGGCTGAGGGCTCTATGCATGCTGGGGGGCTGGAAGGTTGCTTTTGCTGGGGAGACAGACAAGGGCTGAGCGCCCCACACCACCACAGTGCCCTGCCCGGGCCACCCCACCAGGCGGCCGCACCTTCTTCTCGTGGTTGGGGATGATGCAGCGGACGAAGTTGGGGTTGGTGTTCCTCAGCGTGGCCATCAGCTTGGCCAGCTGCTCCTTGTACAGCTGCCCCACGGTGCGGAACATGCCCTTCCGTGTCTTGAAGGCCCCGGGCAGTGCCGTCTCTGACATGCCGGCCACCTGGTCCAGGCCGATGATGCGGTCCACTGTGGAGGCCACCGAGAACATGTGAGTGCCCCACAGTTCCACCCGGGGGCGGAGGGAGGAGGAGAGACAGGCAGACATCAGGCAGTAAAAGAGGAGACAGAATGGAACAATGGGACCCTTTCTGCTTGGGGCCTACACAGGGTGCTAAGGTCATCCCCACACACAGCAGGAAGCCAAGGGGGCTGCAACGGCACTGGGCTTGTCTCTCGGGGGCCATGGGTCTGCCACGGCCACCTCTCCTTCCTATCACCTATCTTCAGCTGCTCTGGGAGCTCCTATTTCCAAAAAGACTCAATGAAGCTTGTAATGGATTTTGGAATAGTGAGAATTCCACTAGCCTGGTTCTAAGGAGGTGTTAAAACCTGGCTGACGTAATCCTGCAGTCCTATGGTCAGTCGGGAGAAAAAAAAATCAGTATCTTGAATTCCCACTGACCCTGTGGTAAGAGCACTGGGCTGGGAGTCAGAAGGCGGAGCTTGGAGCCACCCTGCCACTGTCTGCAGAGCTGGGCAGGGTCCCCTCTATATCTACGCAGATATCTCAGAAAAAGAGAGCTCCGAAGAACCGCTCTTGACCATAAATACTCCGAAGTGTAGAGATCTCTTCGCGCCCTCGTATTTGGTTTTGTCTCCTGGCGCAGAGGTCTTTCTCTTCTAAACTGACCCCCAAGGGAAGCAGCCCCCAGCACTGGAACTCATGCCCAGCAGCAATGAAACAAACTGCATCCTCCAAGGTAAGAAAAAAAAAAAAAAAAAGCAAACAAACAAGCCAAACCCAAGTGGCTAGCGATCTGAGATCAGTTTAAGCAAGAGCTAACGTTAAATTTGAAGCCTTCCATTATTGGACGTAAAAGTTAAGAATATTGACAAAGCCTGTTTCATATTCCTTCATGGCCAGATTCCTGTTATTTATTTGAAGACAGCAAAAAGGATCCTTGCTCAAAAAGGATCCTTGCTTAAGACAGAAGCCAGGAGTGTGGATGGAACCTACAAACCAATCAATTAAAATGGGAAGCGGCCAGGTGCAGTGGCTCACGCCTGTAAATCCCAGCACTTTGGGAGGCCGAGGCAGGTGGGTCACGTAAGTCCGGAGTTCGAGACCAGCCAGGCCAACATAGCGAAACCCCATCTCTACTAAAACTACAAAAATTAGCTGGGTGTGGTGGCAACAGCCTGTAATCCCAGCTACTTGGGAGGCTGAGGCAGGAGAATCACTTGAACCCAGGAAGCAGAGGTTGCAGTAGGCCGAGATTGCAGCACTGCACTCCAGCCTGGGTAACAAGAGCGAAACTCAGTCTCGAAAAAAAAAAAAAGAAAAGGGAGGCATCTTTGACCTTATGTACCCACCACAGGGCCGATATTCCTGGCTACCACAGGCTTTCCTGGGAGTGGTAACTTACAAAAGCTACTCAGGTTGTCCAGAGAAAGGTTAATGTGGCCTCAGCATAATTGACCCTTTTAGCAGAGTGGATCCTGCCCCACAGAGGGCCCCGGCCGGGTGGAGCAGGCCTTGCTGAGTGACTGTGGAATGAACACACAGATGCCACTTCAGCTCTCAGGTGCACAGACACACACAGTGTGCATACCTGAAGCTCATGCCAAGACACCCGCAGCCATTCAAGCAGTAAGACGCTGCCTTTAGGGACGGAGCTCTAAGGAGGATACAAATTTTTAAACCATTTTTGCTGTTTTTAAGGTTGATTTTTGAGGAAGGGTCTCACTCTGTCATCCAGGCTGGAGTACAGTGGTGAAATCACAGCTCACTGCAGTCTGGACCTCGTGTGCTCAAGTGATCCTCCCGCCTCAGCCACCTGAGCACATGGGACTGCAGGCAGGCACCATCACACCCAGAGGATTTTTTTTTTTTTGTAGGAATCTCCCTATGCTGCCCAGAATGGTCTCAAACTCCTGGACTCAAGTGATCCTCCCACCTCAGCCTCCCAAAGTGCTGGGATTACAGTGTTTTAAGATTTTAATGTGACGTCCCCAAATTCCAGACATAGCCCCTCATTTGCCCAGCTTGCTGCTAGAGGCCAGCGAAAGGCACCATGCGCGGAGCCTGCCCAGGAGCCTGGCGCAGATCAGGGAACAGGGGTGTAAGCAGGCAGGAAAAGCCAAGGAGGGCAAGGAAAGCCAGGCAGAAGCGTTTCTTGCACAGCTCTGGACGCACCACACACATGAGACACCGCTCAGGCGGCCAGTCACCTGGTTCTAGGTGGAGAATAGGAAAGCGATGATAGAAATAGGCTCTCTGAGTGCTCTGCATCTCTGCAACAGAGAGGTTAAAGCAAAACCCAGGCAAAGGAAAAGGAGAAACCAACAGAAAGAATTAAAAAGAACCACTCAAAGCAACCAGCCTAACCAAGGTGGAGAAGGCGGGAATTCGACCTGGCGCAGGGGCTGGGAGACTAGGCTGGAGGCTCGGGGCGCCTTGGAATTTCCCACACGCGGAAAGCGCTCCGCCCGGGAGGACCCGGCCACGGTGTGTGCTCGAGGGCAGCCTCCTGTTTCAGGCCGAGGAGCCCTCTCTTGTGGGAGCTACAGAGGGTGGAGACCACCTGGCCTATGTCAGGGGGAGACCTGTACCCTTGGTTTGGTGGCTCAGCCCACTGTGGAGGTGGGAAGAGGACCAGCCGCGGCCAAGAGGAGGCAGGGGGCGAAGGGCAAAGGGCGTACCATCCTTCCACAGCTCCGAGACAAACTTGTCAGAGGACTGGTGGAGCAGCGTGGCAATGTTGTCGTTCAGCGGGTCCATGTTCTTCATCAGCCACTCGTCGGCTTTGTAATCCACCTGGCAGGATCAGAGAGGCCCGAGTCACGAGCTGCGCTGGGGACACCAGGGCTCACAGGCTCTCCCACGCACAGGCCGACCCCATGCGTGGAAAAGCCGGAAAGCGTGAACACCCTCTGACCCAGCATTTCCACCTTAAGAAGGAAGTGAGAGGATGAGGGACACGATGCCTCATGACATTCTCTGCAGTGTCTCGTGCAGAGCAAGCATCTCAAAGCAAGGTGTGACCTATAATGGGATCCTGGCTCTGGCAATGGTGTGGTGGCCACGCGTGGTGAAACCGGGCTGGGTTCCAGCTTTTTAAAATTTTTAGGTAATATGAAAAAAGAAAAAAAAATCCTGGAAGGACCACAAAATGTTACCATTTCTTTTAAGTCATAAGACAAGTAATTTTTGTTTTTTCTTTGTCTTTCCAGAATGTTCACATTTTCTCAAAGTATGTGTCAATTTCGTCGTTTCGGAAATACATATTTTTTAAATATATTTTTTTAATTGGGCAGCCTCCTAAACCAGAGGGTTCAGAGAGACTTCTAGAAAGATATTACTTTTTTTCCTCATTTTAAATAGAGATAGGGTCTCACTGTGTTGCCCAGGTTGGTCTCAAACTCCTGGGCTCAAACTGTCTTCTCACTTTGGCCTTCCAAAGTGTTGGGATTCCAGGCATGAGCCCTTGTGGTCCCCTAAAATATATACTTAACAAAGCAAGTAATACAGCATGACATGTGCATTGCAAAAGGTCCCAGAGCAATACCCAGAGAGCAGCAGGCGGCCTGGGCCTCCGTCTCCCTAACACTCTCAGTACGGAGGTGGGTGTGCGCTGCTGTCGATCATGAGGTGGGTGATGCCACTTTCTCCTTTCTCCAGGCTCAGAGTCTCAGCAACCCTCCCATCCAGGCCTACATCCTTGTCCCGTCAGCTGCCACAGCACAGCCCAAGGCAAGACACAACACATCTGACGCCATCGTGCAGGCCCCTGGTAGGTGCTAGGGTGTTCCTAATCACCAGCATTACAAATAATCCCACAGCAAAAGCCCTTCTGGAAGCTTCTGTGCTGATGAGCACGTGCTTTTCCCAAAGGTGAGAGCGGAAAGGAGGCTTGGGAAACATTCCTTGGGTAATGGTGTAAACTGTTTTTTTGGCTTTATTATTTTTTACATGGGTAACTGAAGACAGTTGCTTCCGCAGCCTCAGGAACCAGCTAAGCAGAAGAGGCCGGCGGGGGGGAGCTGCCTGCTAGAACTGGGCCTGGACTCCACATGGCTCGGGAACAGAGCTGTGAAACTCCCAGATCCCCTCGCCAGCGGCCACCAAGGATATGGCGAAGCCCCTGCCTAATCTCACATGCTCGGGCCACAGCACTTAATCGTTAGGGTCTTTGTGCAAGAAGCACACAACGTGCTGAGAAGAACCAGCTTCTGTCTAAGCATGCACCTCTATGGACTATGTGGGGTCTCAGCCCCCGTCACACGCGGACTGGGAAGATGTCTGCCAGCTAAGTGTTGAAGGCGAGTCCGACATTTACTGACTGTGGCAGACTTGGCAAAAGCAGCTGTCACCCACAGTAGTGGCAATTCCCCACCCCCCAAACTAGGACACATTTGGTGATATCTAGAGATATTTTGGGTTGTCAGGACGAAGGAGGGTGCTCCTGACTCTAGCAGGTAGCAGCCAGGGATGCTACGAAACATCCTAGCAGGAGGCTGAGGCAGGCTGATCACCTGAGGTCAGGAGTTCGAAACCAGCCTGACCAACATGGAGAAACCCCGTCTCTACTAAAAATACAAAAAATCAGTTGGGCGTGGTGGCGCATGCCTGTAATCCCAGCTACTCAGGAGGCTGAGGTAGGAGAATCGCTTGAACCTGGGAGGTGGAGGTTGCGGTGAGCCGAGATTGCGCCATTGCACTCCAGCCTGGGCAACAAGAGTGAAACTCTGTCTCAAAAAAAAAAAAAAAAAAATCCTAGTATGCACAGAAGAGCCCCGCAGTAAAGAACGACCCAGCCCGTACTACCAGTAATGCCGAGGCTGAGGAGCCCTGCCCTGGGGCACTGACCCGTGCCACGTGTTGGGCCTCAAGAGCTCGTTTAATCCACATAATTGTATGGTAGTTGGTCATTCTCATTTTCCAGATGAGGAAACCCAGGATCAGAGAGGCTAAGTAACTGACCTGAAGTCAAACAGCTTATGAGTGGCATAGCTGTATTCAAACTCTGCACAGATGCCTTTAGCCAAATCTCTGCACCTGGCAGACAGGCCCAACAATAAAGAAGACGACATGATGACAACCAGCCTGGGCACCGTGGTGGAGTGTTGCAGGCTTCCAACAGCACCCACCAGGTGAAGGGGCTCTGCAAGCTATGTAAATGCTGATGCTGTCAGTATTTACTGATCAGTAAATACTGATGCGGCCACATTACTGGGTGAGTCACTGTGCAAGAACTGCACTCAGGTCACACCCCCGCACCCCCAGCAGCTGCCCGGCTCCTCCCCATGAGTGCTCCTCACCTTGCCGGCATAGTGGATGATGCAGAAATCGGCTTTGTCCTTCAGCTGCTTGGGCTTCTGGAACTTGGGGTGGGTGCCCTGCTCCTGCACCACCTTCTCCACGAAGCTCTTGTCGGTGGCTTTGGGGAACCAGCACTCCTCGTCCAGCAGGGCCAGGATGCCAGGGGGTCCTGCCTGGAGGAAGCGCAGCATCAGCACCGGGGAGCACGCCCTGCGAAGCGCACCACACCCTTCAAGAAGCCAAAGCCTGGGCATCAGTATCCCCTGAATCCCACAGAGGGTGGGCAACGTGCTCCCCAGGTGGAGTGAAGCACTCAGTTGAGGAGTTCTAGTTTATAAAGAAACCTCTGGGGCCCAGGCTGCGGCTAAGAGACCTTTACCCAAGCATCCATCACAGTGGTTCCCCAGCGTTACTGAAACCCCTGGTGGGCTTGATGAAAAGTGCAGATCCGGCCGGGCGCAGTGGCTCATGCCTGTAATCCTAGCACTTTGGGAGGCCGAGGTGGGTGGATCACCTGAGGTCAGGAGTTCAAGACCAGCCTGGCCATCATGGTGAAACCTCATCTTTAAAAAAAAAAAAAGAAAAAGAAAAGTGCAGATCCACTGACGGAGCCAGCGCGTGACTTCACAGTGTACTGAGCTCTGCCCAGGAGGCCGCCCTCAGCAAGCACTCTGTGATCCTGCCATGGGAGATACCATCCCATAGGTTTTGCGTCTGCATGTCTCTGATGCGATGGGATACGTAGGAGGAGCCCCTTGAGGAAGAGAGTCCCAGGGTCCCAGCAGCCTTCTGCACACTGAGTTAACAAGACAAGAAAGCAGATTTGGACACTGCAGAGACGCTGTCTGACAAAACTTGAAGCCCAGTGGGTTCTTATTAGTTGGAAAATTCAGTTCATTAAAGAAAAAAGCTCATTACAAAAGTAAACTGTTGGCTGGGTGCAGTGGCTCACATCTGTAATCCCAGCACTTGGGGAAGCCAAGGCAGGCGTATCGCCTGAGGTCAGGAGCTCAAGACCAGCCTGGCCAACATGGTGAAACCCCGTCTCTACTAATAATACAAAAATAATTCTGCAATCCCAGCTACTCAGAAGGCCGGGGCAGGAGAATCGCTTGAACCTAGGAGGCAGAGGTTGTGGTGAGCCGAGATCGTGCCACCTCCCTCTAGCCTGGGCGACAAGAGCAAAGCTCTGTCTCAAAAAAAAAAAAAGGAAATTGTTTCAAACTGAACAAACTTTGTCCTAGGCCTTCTGATTAATTAACCATAATCAAAAGGAATGCCAGAGCCAGGTGCAGTGGCTCACGCCTGTAATCCCAGCACTTTGGGAGACCGAGGCGGGTGGATCACCTGAGGCTGGGAGTTCGAGACCATCCTGACCAACATGGTGAAACCCTGTCTCTAGTAAAAATACAAAACTAGCTGGGCGTGGTGGCATGTGCCTGTAATCCCAGCTACTTGGGAGGCTGAGGCAGGAGAATCGCTTGAACCCCAGGAGGCAGAAGTTGTGGTGAGCCGAGATCATGCCATTGCACTCCGGCCTGGGCAACAAGAGCAAAATTCTGTCTCCAAAAAAAAAAAAAAAGGAAACCCAGAAACAGAAACAGCTCGGGCTTCCTTACAGATCACACCCCCCATCAGGCCCAAAACACAAACAGGTAACCCAACTTCCACCTGGCACGAGGTTTAAATATGAACTCACTGGAAAAGGTTCCTCTTTCCATCTTCACACGGCTAATGCCGGCGATCAAAGCACTGGGCCATGCTGGGTTTATGGGGGGATAAGCTGAGCTTTGCTGCGTGTGCACTGGGGAGAGCGCTCACCGCCCAGGGTCTGCACAATTCCATGCTAGTGAAAGGACCCTGTGATACAACCTTACTACATGGATGCATGGCTGTTTCTTTGAGACAAAGAAATACTTATTGAGCCCAGTCTTCAGGTGGACGCTGGGTGGTCTTCTGGGACTGCAAACAGGATGCTAGGGCCCCCACCACATCCACACCTGGTTTGACAGCTGGGGGAAGCCCAGCCCGCAGCCACAGCACAGAGCATCTCCTCTAACAGAGGCAGGCCTCCTAGGCACCAGATCTTGGCCTCGGGGCTTCGTCCTCCAGGTGGCACCAAAAGGAAGGGGAGTCAGACACCTTCACCACCAATACCGAGCTGAGGGGAGATACGAGTGCCCGGAAGGGAAAAGCCAAAGGCAGGTCTGAGGTCAAAGCAAGCCTGGTACTCACTGGCTTCTCGATGAGGTCAATGCAGGGCTGCAGGTCGAGGCCGAAGTCGATGAAGTTCCACTCGATGCCCTCGCGCTGGTACTCCTCCTGCTCCAGGATGAACATGGTGTGGTTGAAGAGCTGCTGCAGCTTCTCGTTGGTGTAATTGATGCACAGCTGCTCAAAGGAGTTCAGCTGCAAGGAGACAAAACAACATCAGAGAGACGCCAAACCTGCACGAAGAGGCCCAGACACACACCCCTTGAGAAGAAGGGCAGGGTGGGGACACAGGGAGGGCCTCCTTGGGCACCTCCACACTGCTGCCTTCAGAGCTTGGACAGTCCTGGCCCTTCCCTTTATCCCCCCAGCAGTGGGCGACATTTACTCTTTGGAGCCAGGGACCTCTGGCAATCTGGTAAAGCCTTTTCAGAATAATGCTTTAAATTGCATCCAATAGATTACAAAGAAAGTAGTTATGTTGAAATATAATCATCAAAATATTGTGATTGAATAATACACTGTGCTTCCTTGTTTTTTCTTTTTACTTCTTGAGACAGAGTCTCATTCTGTCGCCCAGGCTGTAGTGCAATGGCGCAGCCTCAGCTCACTGCAGCCTCTATCTCCCACACTCAAGTGGTCTCCCCACCTTAGCGTCCCTAGTAACTGGGACCACAGGCATGCACCACCATGCCTGGCTAATATTTGTATTTTTTGTAGATACGGGGTTTCACCATGTTGCTCAGGCTGCTCTTGAACCCCTGACCTCAAGCAATTCTTCTGCCTCAACCTCTCAAAGTGCTGGGACTACAGGCATGAGCCACTGCACCAGGCCTTTCTATTTTTTTTATTGAAGAGATGAGGCCTTGCTTTGTTGCCCATGCTGGTCTCGAACTCCTGGCTTCAAACAATTCTCTTGCCTCAGCCTTCCAAAGTGCTGGGATTACAGGCGTGAACCACCGCACCCAGCCTCTGTGCTTCCTTATTAATAAGAACTAGCCATGGGCTTAATAACTTCCAAAATTTTGAGGTAGCGATCGATGCATAAATGACACTACCAGATCTCTGCAACAACCGGAATGTGACAGGAAAGTCTGTGCTTTCTATGGGGCCAGATCATGAGCACTGCTAATACAACTGCGGTTTGTAGAGTTCAATTCACAACTGGAAAAAATACATGATTTCAATGAGAGGGCAGTAAAAAATAAAGATATAATTTTCTCATTGTAGCTCATGGCTCCTCTCAAACCTACCATGGACTCCAGGTTAAGAACCCCTAATCTGCTGTAAGTGTCGGTTTCCCTACTAGACCTCAAAGTCTTCATGGGCAAGGGAGATGTCTTATCCCAATGCTCAGGAAATATCTGCTGGAAGAATAAACAGGAAGCACCTGTCCAGGAAGCCTCCAAAAATGTGACCTAAAATGTCCCATTCTCCCAGCCTAAACAACATGGCGAAACCCTGGCCCTACAGAAAAAATACAATTAGCTAGGTGTGGTGGCACATGCCTGTAGTCCCAGCTACTCAGGAAGCTGAGGTGGGAGGATGGTTTATGCACGGGAGGGCAAAGCTGCAGTGAGCCATGTTCACATCACTGCACTCCGGCCTGGGTAACAGAGCAAGACCCTGCCTCAAAAAAAATAAACAAAAGGTCTCATTCTCTCCAGCATTTCTGGTTGAAAATGAGCACTTTTGTTTAGCTTAAAACACATCTAACTGAGCCTGGGCCACACAGTGAGACCCCATCTCTACAAAAAATTTAAAAATTAGCTGGGAGTGCTGGTGTGTGCCTATAGTTCCGGCAGCTACTAGGAGAGGCTGAGGTGGGAGGATTGCTTAAGCCCAGGAGGTCAGGGCTGCAATGAGCTACCACTGCACCTCTGCACTCCAGACTGAATGACAGAGCAAGACCCTTTTCTTCCTTTAAAAAAAAAAAAAAACCACACCCAGCCAAAGTCTCTACGCAAAGGAGATAGCCAACTCAGATTGGTGTGGGACCACGGGAAGCAGGGTTCTTAACCAAGGAGAAGGCGACCAAGAGGTCAAGGAGGCAGTGGGGTGGGTAATGAGGGCGATGCTCACATCAAAGATCTCGAAGCCCGCGATGTCCAGGATCCCAATGAAGGAGGCGCCCTGCCTCTTGGTCTTGTCCAGAGCCTTGTTGATGCGCAGCACCAGCCAGCGGAACATCCGCTCATAGGTGGCCTTGGCCAAGGCCTCAATGGCAAAGTCAGCCTGCAGGACACACCAGGGAACATGCTGTCAGATACGAAGGATCTGAAAACCCTCATACCCTTCGCCCCAGTGATTTCACTTTTAGAGTTCTCCCACTAGAAGAGCAGCTTCTAGTATGTGAAGGGCAGAGAGTCGGGGGGAACCTTGGTGCACAAATATGTTCACTGCAGTGTTATTTCAAATGATGAAAAGTAGAAACAACCGAATATCCAACAACGTGGGGAAAATAAACTTCGCTCTTTCTAAATAAAATGGGGACACACTAAAGTATTTACAGAAGAAGTGGTGCTTCAAAATGAGGCAGGGGTCTATGGTCATACCACCCTAAACATGCCCGATCTCATCAAAATAATGCAGTGGGCAGAAGGGGCGGGGGGAGATCAGGTGAACGATGAGCCTAGACTCGCCACGAGTTAGTAACTGTTGGAGCCGCCCATGTGATGGGCACGTGGGGCCCTTTATACTCTCCCCTCTTCTTTGTTCTGCACATGTTTGAACAGCTCTGTAATAAAAAGCCAGAGGGAGAACTAAGTTTAATTCTTTTACGTCTTGTAGGAAATAGCGGCCCAACGATATTCATCATTGGGAGTTTTTTTCCTTCTCTTGGCTTTTCTGTATTAAGAGTCATATAGTATTTTTGTAATTAAAAAATGGAGGTTTCTCCTTAATTGTCAGGGAAACCAAGAGGCGGCAATAAGGATGCACGATGTCTTTTGAAAACAACAGCCTTGTCTTTCATGCCATCACTCTGCACAGAAGCAGCCGTAAGCTGTCAGTGCACAGCGAACGGGGAGAAGGACTCACAAGATGAGCTTCCAGGTATTTTTGAGAGAGGAGTCTGGCACCCTAAAAACCCCCATGGCCAACACCCTAAAAGAAACTAGAAACCTCCGATAGAGATGGAGAGGGGCCCACACTGGGAGGGACCTCCGCTCCGGGGCGGGCAGGCACATCAGTCTGGCAGGAAGGAGCAAGCGCTGAGCTCATCTCTCAGCACGTGTGGCAAGGCCAAGGCAGCAGGTGGTAGAGAAACAGCAGCTTGGCACCGGCTCGAGGATGGCGGGAGTCGCCACCCTGGCACCAAAAGGAGTTAAGCTACAGAGGCATCGAGTCCCTGCTTTATACCAGACAGGACATGCCTGTATCCTTGATGCCCCATTAGCCAGAATATCGTGTCAATGTAAAGAGGCACAGCGCAGCCTCAAGATGGCACTTGCTAGACGTGAAGCCTTGCAAGCACCAAGTAACTTCTCCAGTGCTCTAGATGGGGTGATGCCACCTCTCTCCGGGTTGCTGTGAGGACCGCATCAGGGAGTCATGTGAAAGTGCCAGACACGACACCCCAGGATGGCCCAGAACAGCCTCAACTGTGCTGCTGCAGGGACATCCAGCTCTTCAGCCAGGTGGCAGCTGGGTGCCCTGGCCCTAGAAGACATACCTGCTCTTTCGTCTGAGCCTTCTGGACATAATCCCGTCCCACCTTGATGCGCGGAGTGAGGATTCCTCTGGTGAAATCGGTCACATTGATGCCCAAGAGATGGGACACCTTTTGGGCAGCTAAGATTTTTCAGAGAATAAGGGGGAGGGGGGGAGTCCTAATTAGACATAAGCAAATGAGTCCCTCTGCTTAACCTGGGAGCAGAGAGGAAGCAAGCCACAATGAATGAGCAATCATTACCAGGACAATGACATCTGGGTCCTTCTTTAGCAGGGCCACAGACACCCAGCATCCCCCCAACTCAGCAGCCGCATGCAGGACAGTGGGCAGGGCAGCTGTACCTCCTCCCCCAAGCCCCACAGGGCAGGGAGGAAGGCATCCTGGCTGGAAGCCCCAGTGGTGGCAGTGGTTCCTCTGCCCACTCTCAGCCGCACACCTTGGAGTGTAAAAGCAGGTCCCCACCCACCAATGGGACTGACAGAAGCAGGCTGGCCTGGTGCTGGGGCATGAATAGCACAGGATCCCACAGGAGTGTCTTTTTTTGTTTTGAAATGGAGTCTTGCTCTTGCTGCCCAGGCTAGAGCGCAGTGGTATGATCTCAGCTCACTGCAACCTCCGCCTCCCGGGTTCAAGCAATTCTCCTGCCTCAACCTCCCGAGTAGCTGGGATTACAGGCGCCCGCCACCATCCCTGGCTAATTTTTGTATTTTTAATAGAGATGGGGTTTCACCATGTTGGTCAGGCTGGTCTTAAACTCCTGACCCCGTGATCCGCCCACCTTGGCCTCCCAAAGTGGTGGGATTACAGGCGTGAGCCAACACACCCGGCCAGGAGTGTCTTACAGTCCACACACCTCTGCGTTACAGCTTTGGAGAGCCCCTAAGGAGGGCACGTTAAGACTGAATAACTTGTATGGGGTCATTTGCAGAAACTCTAACAAAGGGGCTGAGTTGGGTGTGGCAAGGGCGTAATTTCAAGATCTCAACCTAGTCGCAGGCAAGGCTCCCATTAAGGTGGAGCTATGGCAGAAATCATTCGTGTCCTGACAAATGGCATGGTCTCAGGAATGAATGGGGGAAGCCCTGGTTCACGTGATCACAAGTTTAAGTTATTCTGAAATGCTTACTTGGTGAGAAAAAAGCAGGGACGTGTTTCTGTGTGTTTTACATCTGTACAAAAAGTACCAACAGATACGTGGCCAGAAACACACCTAACATCAGGAAGAACAGTGGCTGGGATTTCTGCAAGACCTTCCCTCCTAAGCAAATCCAAGCACCCGCCCGCATTTCTGGCAAGAGGCCCTGGGTGTTACCTGTGTTGTCCGGCATGGACGCCTGGTCGGTGTTCCGCTCCTTCTTGAAGACAATGTTGCCGAGCTGAAGAACCCCTGAGATCACCCGCAGCAGGCCTTTGGGTACAAAGAGGCAGCTCAGAAGCACACATGGGTCAGAGTAATTCCCAGGAGTGAGGGGTGGAGTTCACTCACCCAGGGATCCCCAAGCCAGACAAGCCAAGCAGGGACACCCCCAACTCCCTGGGGCCACAGGGGCGCCAGGTCTGGGTCTAACAGTGTGTGGTGGGCCCAGCCACCCTGGAGGGCTCACCCGCTCCCGGCCAGCATGACCTCTTTGTCTCCCAGGCCTCCCGCAGGACCTCAGCTGGGAAGTCGTATGCTTAGGCATGAGCTCTGTTAAGAATCCTAACATGGCTTTTTTAGATTGGTATTAAATTTTTTTTTTTTTTTTTTTTAAGCAGAGATGCCTCCCAAAGTGCTGGGATTACAGGCGTGAGCCACCACGCCCAGCTCCTAACACTTCTAAATCCAGACTAAGGACATGTGTCTGGCCCAGGAGCCCACTGCCTACTTTTATACAGTCTTACAGGAACTCAGCCATGCCTGTTCATTCATACAGTGCCTATGGCTGAGCAAAGGTGGCTCTGACCCAAATCCTCACTCCACTCTCCTGTCACATGCATTCTGCCACAAAGCAGACACGGCTAGAGAGGGAGGTGAGCTCTCCCTAACCCTCCATCTTTCTTTTTTTTTTTTTTTGAGATGGAGTCTCACTCTGTCCCCAGGCTGGAGTGCGGCCACTGCAACCTCCACTTCCCGGGTTCAAGTGATTCCCCTGCCTCAGCCTCCCGAGCAGCTGGGACTACAGGCAAGCACCATCATGCCTGGCTAATTTTTTCTATTTTAGTAGAGACAGGGTTTCACCATGTTGACCAAAATGTTTTTGATTTCCTGACCTCATGATCTGCCCACCTCCACCTCCCAAAGTGCTTGGATTATAGGCATGAGCCACTGTGCCCGGCACCTGCCATTTTTCTACAGACTAAAGTCTCGAGCAGGCTGAGCACACAAGCCCCTCTTCACCCTCCCTCTGGGAAGACGGAAGACACAGGCGTGTTCCACACTGCCACTCATTCTGGGCTTCACTAGCACAAAGCACCCACCCCCAGCTTCTTCCACACTCCCTGAGACAGGACAGGAATATGCTGCTTTCAGCAAATGGCTAAGGCCACGCAGTGGACCCAGGCCCTGGGCAGTTAAGGACATGTCCTTTGCACCCTTTCTGTGTAAATGCCTGTGAGACTACCAGAAATAAATAATCCTGAACCTCAATTCGGAGGAACCATTTTCCCACATGCTGAAGGTCTTCCCCTCCCACTGGCCTCTCTCAGGCTCCCCAGGCCCATCGGCTGCCCTGATGTCCCTGATGCCCAGCCTTCCCCTGCCCCGCCCTCCCCCACAGGAGGGCAAGCCCTGTACCCATTTGCTCCTCTTCTGGGATGCCCATAATCCTCATGGCCTCCATGGTCTCCTGGAACATGTCCTTGTCCTGCTGCCCGGGGATGGTGACGTGCCCGTTGGACAGGAAGCGGTATTTGTTGTACGGCTCCAACAGGAGATCGGCTGTAAGGAGTGGAGGACAAGGGCGTCTCAGCGAGGCACTGAAAGCAGAGGCTCCATCCACGCTGTGACCTCAAAGGCTGGAGAGACTGGGACACACCTTGAGCCCTGAAATGCCCTGGAAACTGCGGAGTAGCCAGCAACGTCGGCTTTCCTGTGTCTGAGACACTGATGCTCACGTCTCCTGGCCCAGGAGAACACCAGGGCCCCATGATTTACAGCTGCATGTGCAACCCACCCTAGCTCTTCTCTGGCGTGGTCAGAAACAGAAGACCAGGTCCTTAGGATGGCACAGGGGACAGGAGTCGCTCTCACTTCTCCCCACTAAACCCAAGGTCAAAGTTTTCATTTCCCGAATGACATCTATGGCCCAATTCTGGCAGGGGGCCCAGAGCCCGGCAGCCCCAGCATCAGGCTGCAAGCCAACTACTCACTCTTCAGGTGCTCTCCAGCCCCAGACAGGAGATAATAGAAGATGTGGAAGGTTCGTTCTTCCTTGGCTTGGCGGATGGCACGAGATTTCTCCAGGAGATCTTCACAAACATTAAGGAACAACACAAGATGGGGGAAAGGCAAGCCCTCCACTGTCCTCTTTTTTTGGAGACAGTCTCACTCTGTCGCCCAGGCTGGAGTGCAATGGTGCGATCTCAGCTCACTGCAGCCTCCACCTCCTGGATTCAAGCAATTCTCCTGCCTCAGCCTCCCAACTAGCTGGGATTTCAGGCGTGTCCCACCACACCCAGCTAATTTTTGTATTTTTAGTAAAGACGGGGTTTCACCATGTTGGCCAGGCTGGTCTCAAACTCCTGACCTCAGGTGACCCACCCACCTCAGCCTCCCAAAGTGCTGGGATTACCGGCGTGAGCCACCGTGCCCGGCCTGCCTTCCACTGCCCTCTTATTCTCATCCAAAGGAACTGAACTTCATCAGGAAGGAAGAATGGAACAAAATGGCAAAATACAGCAAAAGCAAACTACCTTGGTTCTCACCTTCAAGGGGCACAGCATGTCCAAGAGTAGCTCACACCCCTCAGGAGCCTTGTCTCATTCCTTTTTTTTTTTTTGGAGACAGAGTCTCGCTCTGTTGCTCAGGCTGGAGTGCAATGGCGCGATCTCAGATCACCACAACCTCCGCCTCCCAGGTTCAAGTGATTCTCCTGCCTCAGCCTCCCAAGTAGCTGGGACTACAGGGGTGTGCCATCATGCCCAGCTAATTTTTGTATTTTCAGTAGAGATGGGGTTTCACCATGTTGGCCAGGATGGTCTCAAACTCCCGACCTCAATGCTCCACCCACCTTGGCCTCCCAAAGTGCTGGGATGACGGACAAGAGCCCCCTCACCAGGCCTCTTTGTCTCATTCTTACAGATAATGGAAACAAGAACAGTCCCACAAGTGAAGGTTAAATGCTGGCATGTGGGAGAGAGAAAGCAGCATCCTCTAAATGCCCACCTCTGGGAGCCACACTAGACACCTTTCAACAACTCCATGTCATTCAAACCAGAACGTTACCCTTCCCGTGAATAAAGTCCTAAGCTCTGTGTTGGGTTTGCACTGAGCTGACCCTGACAGTCCTCCCAACTCCACAGAGAAGGTATCATGACCAGCCCAGAATGGGGAAAGTGCTGGAATCAGGAGGCAGTTTTTTCTCTACAGAAGTCACGCTGCCCCTCCGGATCCAGAACTCTCATCCCAACAAACCACAAGGATACAAGTCTCAATGTTGGCTCCAACGATGTAGCCGTTGACATCAAAGTTGATTCGAATGAATTTGCCCTAAGTAAAGGAGGATAATGAGAGATCAGGGGTGCCCCTGCCTTGGGGAGCTAGTAAGGGAGAGACCAGAGCCCCCCGCCCCACCTCCAGTGGGCACAGCTTGGAGGGAGAAAACCCTGAGGCTGGACCCATGCCCCTATGGCCACCTTACGTGGGCCCTCAGGACTCCAGCACCACACACCACACTGCCTGAGGCCGTGAGCCCAAGACAAGCGGAGCCCGCACCCAGGTTCCTCCACAGAGCAGGAGAGAGGCCAGTTATCTGGGAAGTGTTCCTCTCTGCCTGACCTGGGAGCTAACTGGCTCCTGGTGGCAGCAGGACGCTTTCAGGCAGCGTAGGCAACACCCTCACTGGCCTTTCCTCCTGTCATGAGGGAGGCTGAAGAAGCTACTCATGGTTTCCTTCCTTAAGAGGGGCAGGGCAGGTCCACACCAACTTGCATTGGGTCTGGCCTAGTCCACGCAACAGGCCAGACAGTACTGAGTCTGAATTGTCCTTGGTTTTGAGGGAAGGGCACCCAGGAGAAGGCAGCATGAGCCAAAGCTCTGGGCAGAGCCCTCTGTCCCTGGAGTCGGGGCACCGCCGTGCTACTCACAAAGCGGGAGGAGTTGTCATTCTTCACGGTCTTGGCGTTCCCGAAGGCCTCCAAGATGGGGTTGGCCTGCAGCAGCTGCCGCTCCAACTCACCCTGCAAGGAACCCAGGGATGCAGTGAAGGCCGGGTAGCAACCTGGGCTGCTGAGCCTGCCCTGCCAAGAAGGGGACGATGGGCAGAACCGTGTCAGCACATCCAATGTGCCAGGAACAGAGGCTTCTGGGTGGGCTCCAGTGTGCCACTCCAGCCAAGGCCAGGCCCCAGTATCACCCAAGTGCGGCCTTCCCACCGAGCTTTGGAAACTTTCGTCAGTTTCAACTTACTTCCATGGCCCTAGAAACAGCAGGCAGGAAGCTCCCTCAGCTCTAGGAACCTGGCCCTGGAGGACCCAGATGAAAGCAGCACATGAACTAGGGAAGCCGGTAGCACAGACATCCTGGGACAGTGGCTCCACCCTGTGTCCACCGGCCTCCCTTTCCCTCCTTGCCTCTAATTCTCACATTTTTATTCATTTTCATAGGAAAAGGCAATGAGAAAATCAGATCTGGAAAATATACATGCTCATCTCATCTGTGTCCTAATAAACACTTCCCTTTCCTTGCCAGCCCCTCCACTGCCACACCCTAAACCCACCATGGCAGGCAGTGAGCACGCAATGCATGAACTGCAAGCTATTTACCGAAAATGCCAATAAATCCTGCTGTGGACTCAACGGTGCTTTATGGTTGACAAAATGCACCCTCGTGCCTTCTTACCCCTGGACGCCCACCATACTCAGGGGGCAGGACAGAGTGGCCCCATTTCACAGCACAGGAAGCTGAGGCAAGGTCATCCCGCTATCAATCAGCAGAGCTGGGTGGCGGGATTCAAGTCTCCGACCTAACCCGTCAGCCACTGCTGTCTTCACACCTGCACAGCAGCCCCATTCAGGCCAGGGAATAGCTAACACCAGCTGAGGACACCGGGGAGCTCGTTTCCCTTAATGCCCGAGTGCCCTCTCGGGGAAAGAACATCACACAAGGCCCAGGCGAGCCTTTGTATTTATTAAACACTGGAGTCAAGCCAGGGTTTTCCGGGAACGGCAGTCGCCTGTGAGTGATGACAAGGAAAACCGGGAGTAGCAGGAGCTCCCAGGAGAGTCCTGGACTCTGGCCTTACAAGCACATCTGCCACAGACGAGGCCTGTCTGCAGGGCACCGGGGACACTGGAATCTAGCCGAGCCAGGCTGGAAGCCCACCCAAGACCGCAAGGGACAAAGCAGAGCCTCCTCCCCAGCAGCCCTCCTAGGCCAGGACCCCCCAACCCAGAGCTAGGAAGCCTTCCGTCTGAGAGCCATCCAGATAAGTGAAGGTACTGCTCTGCTGCCCACCTGGAAGAAGGGTCAGCGGGGCCAGGTCAGGGGGCAGGGGTCAAACCCACAGAGTAGGCTCTACACGTGTGCTGGGCACCAGTGGTAACTGGACACCATGCCTCCACCCACAGGCCTTGGGCGGGCCTGGGAAGTCGGCTGAGGCAGCCCACGGAGCCCGATTTGGATGAGAATGGCTCCCCCGTCCCCTATGATGTTCTTCTCAGAGCATGGGCCAGGCTGTCAGGCTGGCTGAGCCGCTCCCGTTTCTGCAGACAGACAGAAAGGAGCACGGCCCCCCTACAGGGCCTGCGCTCGCCCTGGCTAGGAGGTGAACTGGGGCCTCTGTGCGGGACCACACACTGTGGCCGTGGAAAGTGGGGCTGTGGGGCCAAGTCGGGTACAGCCACTTCAGATTCCAGAGCCGAGTTCCCTGCTAACGACAGTGATGACTAACCTACGGCTTTTTCTCTACTGACATCTAACTGGGCACAGAAGACTTTAATTTTTCAGTGGAATCTGCATAACATGAAATGACACGCTATCGTATGTACTACATACTCACAAGGTTTGGGGTCACCTACCGGTTTCTGAAGGGCTTCACTGTTTCTGCCAGTGGGGCCCAACTAGTGCACAAATAACAGAGCAGGGCAAGTCAAAGGCCAGCGGGTCAGGCTCCGGGCACCTGCCTGGAAAGTCCCTTGGCCCAAGCTCTGCTTTGCCAACCTGCAGCCCAGGCCAAACCTGGCCTCCCCGCAGCAAGGTAAGGTCTGGAACAACCCCTCTGCTGGTGTTGGGAGGATCAACTCGGCCACTGCAAGTGAGAGGGTGCTCACTCCCAAACCAAGTTCAAGGGTATTCTGTGCTCCAGCTGCCTGTGGAAAATCACAGCACAGCTTCAGGCAAGGAAATCAACCAAACTGGCCAATGGCCTTTCGTGCCGACAGCCTGAGCTGTGAATGGAAGCCAGGGGCAACCTATTCTCTCACTCCAGTGGGCTCAGGGCAGGGACAGGGTGCCTACCAAAGTCCAATTTTGACAGCGTGGCTCCCACCGTCACCCCCAACCCCAGCATGCTGTCTTCGCCGAGTGCTGCCTTCCCCTCTACAGCAGGGACCCCAGATGGAAGGCACATGATCGATTTCACAGCCCTCTAACTGTGTCCTGTCTCGTGTCTTCCAGGGCAGGGACTGAACGTCACCCTCCCAAGAACGGGTCACGTACTAGGCATTGAATCCATAGTTGGGAAATGGATTTTACTGCAAATTCAGAGATGGAAAACCACAGCTAGAGAACTCCTAACCTCACAGCTCTGTTTTTAAAATAGGCCTCCTAAAAAGAATGGAGAATGGGGGGAAGGGTAGGGAGGGAGATGAGGGAGGGCAGAGAGAGAGAGAGAGCGAGAGAGAGACAGAGAGGGAGAGAGAGAGAGAGAGAGACAGGAAAGAAAGAAACTTTATTAGTTTCTAAATATAACTCCTGACGCCCCATGGAAAAAGATTCTGAATGTCTTGAGAAGCTTGGCACATGGAAAGTTACTTTTGGTTTGGTTCCAGAAGACTGTACACATTAGGCCATTCTGCAGGCCACACCCCAGACCTGCATGCAGACTCACACCCTCCTTACTTACGAACGTCGCACACAGCACGCCAGTAAGGTGGAGCCGCCGGGAGCAGCCAAGCTCCCCTGATGGCTTCAAGGAACACCACTGGCACTTAGGTTTCACGAGGGAGTTTAAGAATGTGTGCTTGAGAGAGAGAGAGGGCACCCCACGGTCATGCTGACATCTGATCACCCCAACCTCTGAAAAACTCCAACGTGAGACCTCCCCGGCACTGCTTCCGACTGGCACAGCGGTGGCAGGTGAGGGCAGCCGGCCATCTGCATCTGGTCTGGACCACGGAGCGGGGAGGGCTCCGTGAGGGTGGAGTCGCCATCCACCGTGCAGAGGTCAGGTTCTGCACGGGGCATGACAGCTATGGTGCACTGTGGGGAAGCCTGGGCATGACTGGAGTTTCTGAGAATAACTAGGTGTGAGGCCCACCCCCATTCTGCAGGAGCTGTCATTTCAGAGTGCACAGGAGGTCACTGTGTGCCACACCCAGCCCCTCTCCCAAGACAGTCTGTGAGCTGAGTCTAAAAGAAGAGTTCTAGCTGCAGAGTGTGACCAGTGTGGGGTGAAAAGCTGCTTAGAACAAAATACAGAATTCAAGGGCACACAATGGGCAGAACACGCATTCGCAGTGCAGAACGTGCAGTAAACGTGCAGCTCACCTAGCGAGGACACTGCTGGGTTCAACCATAAGCCATCAAAAGGGAGAGGAAAAAAACGGAGGTGAGATGACTTTCCAGCTGCCCTTTCACTCTTCGCTGGTGTGCTGGGAGTGGGTGGCTGTCCACCCTGAGGCATTTCAATGGCAGGGAAAAGAAATGGATTCAAACACACGTCCGCTCGAGACCCTGCAAGTGTCCAGCAACTTGAGGACCAAGTCTTGGAACCTGCCTTCCAGCCTCAGAAGGGGAGGACACACAGCAATTAGCTACAGATGCCAAGAGGGCTTCTGCGCAAACTCCAGGACCTCGCCAGTTTCCATAGCAACTCAGAAGGCTAGGAGGCCAAGGACGGAATGGGCTTGCTACTGCCAGACCACTCCCAAGATGGCCACGCTGTCGTCTCAGCAGAAGTGGGCCCAGCCTCTGCTTCATTCCCCAAAGCATCCTCATGTGAACCTGAAGCCATGACCACTAAGTGTTCTTCCTCCATCATCCCACTGAGGCCCAGCAAGTGGCTGTGGGGATCACAGCACTCACCTGGTCCTTCTTGCTCTTGTGTGAGGACGCCACGTACGCCAGATACTGGATGACCTTCTTGGTGTTCTCTGTCTTGCCAGCTCCAGATTCGCCCCTACCAAGAGAAGCAAGGAAGTCCCGGGGTTAGGCCTGGCCAAGTCCTTGACCTCCGTCCCTTCCCACTGCACACGTGACTGCCTCGCCTTCTATCGGGTGCCCATGAAGGACCCAACATCTATTGGGCAGCAAAAGGGACAGCCACATAAACACTCTGGAATCCTCATGCAGTCCATTTCCCATGGCTCTCCAGGGGCCGGACAGAAGTCAACTGAAACCCACTGCCTGCCCCGGTCACTTGGCAGCCTTCACATGCAAGTGTTTTAAAAATCAGTTTTAGGCAGCTGTGGACATAAGGGTCAAAGGCACTGGGACATGTTCCTCTGAAACTTCACTTGAAGGAATGTTCTGTGCCATTAACTCCCTCGGCAATGGGGTTTATGGATCTCCTTCTGAAGTTCAGAGGGTGAGAGGCCCCAGGGTCTATTTCAATCCAGGTAAAGAAAGCCACCATACAAGGAGTGAAGGAATGCCTTCTGCCCAAAAGTTATGGAGGGGCTGGTTCCCAGCTGGATTGTGGAGAGGATCTTGGTTTTCCTTTCTGCCATAAAATCCACCCCTCTTCCCACAGGCTTCTTGAAGAAGGATGATTGAAATTGAGCTCATCCATGCAGCGGGCCCCCCTAGTAGCAAACGTACAAGCTGAAGTCCTGTCCCCTGGGGAAGCGGAGGAGGGAGCCTTGAATTGGGAATGGGGGACTTCACAATCCCCAGTCGTGGTTTCAGTAGGAGTCCTCAAGAATGAGAACAGGTTGGTGGGTGAAACGAACCATTACTCAGATGGAGAAATACTTACGTGCACAAGATGGACTGATCTTCCCGGTCTGCAACAAAGGAGACAACAGATTAACTCCCACCAGATACAAAGTCTCCCTCTCCCAAAGAGCTGTCTGTTTCCCAGAAAGGGAGCACAGAGCCACAGACACTGTCTTTTCGGGGATCTCGCAGCCCACCCTCATAGGCTGACAGTACACCTTGCTGGGTGGGACATTTGTTGGGGGACAGTGCCACTAGGCAGCTGGGAGCTCAGACTGCCCACCATGCTGCCCAGCCCCCACCAGAAAACTAGAAATAGTTCTCTGTCTCTCACCTTAGCGGAACCAATGTTTGGAAAGCTCTCCAGGAACTGACTTTTCTGGGAGCTGAGTGGGGCCTGCCCTGTGTGTTTATAACGGGGGCTGAGACTGTTAGAAATAAGCCCGCTGCAGGTGCTCTAAATACCATCCCCATTGAAGGAAGGAGCACCGCTTAAGAGGCCGGGGGAGGAGGGGTGCCGAGGCCTGGCTTTGCGACAGGAAGGCCCTGGGGTAAGATGCTACCTCACAGCGTGAGACTCAGGACAGGTGCGCAGCCTTCCCTGAGCCCCAGCTCCCTCCTCCGCAGCGTGGGATAACAGTACATGTGTCCACAACACATGTGACCACACCAGCATGGTATCTGGCAAGTGGAAGGCGTGCAATGATGTCACTTTAGAGGCAGCTTGTAAAGAATGACAGCTTCTGATGGGTTTCTGTGACAACCTGTTCTAGAGCCGAGTGTCAGGAACTTTCAGTAACTATCAACAGCTCTGTGAACCACTCGGCAAGTAAGGCTATAAATACCCACTCTCCCCTGGTACAGGAGGGGCAGTGATGCCCACACTCGAAAGCTGAGTTTGCCGGTAACAGTAAGGCATCCTGGCTGTTCAGTACCGGGTACCAATCTTAAGCAACAGCTGAAAATACAAACTAATTTTGTTTCCGTTTTATCGCACCCCATCTAAAGTCCCCACCGTCCTTGAAGTCAAACTGGCCTGAATCCAGGATCAGGCTACTTACAAATATTTGAGCTGCCGTGAAGTATTTAAGTCTGAGTCTGAGTTTCTACAACCACAAAGGAGATATGCTACTAACTCCCTTGCAGGATTCGTTTGCAAAATAGAAATAACACACAAAACAGACCTGCCGCAGTCCCTGTAAAGAGAGGAAGCTCCCCAAATGGTTGGTGCCTACTGACTTCCCCACCACGACGTCGACATGGGTGGTGGGGAAGTCAGTAGGCACCAACCATTTGGGGAGGGAAGTGGCGTTGTCGGGGGCAGTGGGAGCATCCGTGGCTGCTGGTACAGTATCGGCACTGGATGGAAACATGGGTTCAGCGACGTGTGAAGGACATACTCAGTGGCTCGCACCGCCCGCCTGGTCAGGGCCCTGCATGACTAGGCACTGGGAGAATGACTCACGGCTTTCCACGCACATGGCCTCGGGAGACACATTTAACTGTTCTACACCAGTAGATGCCGACCAGCTAGGTAGCCTGCCTCTTCCGAGGTGAGCTTTCCAGCGTGCCTGACCTCAGCAGTGTGCGGGGCTAGGCATTGCCTCCTATCTCTTCTTCTGCCCACTGGTCGTTCGGAAGGGGGAAAAGGAAGCCCGAACAGAGAAGAAAAAACAAACCTCTCACCCAACACCGACATCAGCTGTGCCCTGGGCCACAGCTTCCTCCCAGCCCCCTAAGCATCAACGGGGTGGGGGCACAGAGGGGCTAGGTCACTCTAACACATCCCACACTCTGCTCTCTGCTGTGGGCACTGCTAGGGAGGCAAGCTCTAGGGTGGCCTTAATCCCCGCCTTGCCTTTCTCAAAAAAACAGTCCTTCAAGCCTGCACAGCAAGGACAGAGATTAGAGCCCAGCATCCTTGACAAGACAGACGGGAAGACAGAAGGGAGGGAGGCAGCAGGAACGACATTTCATCGCTGGCCCCTAACAACAGTGTGGCAACCGATAGGGGTTTGGAACAAACACTTTTGTGATCGCAGGCCCTTGCCCTCCCCCACTGAGGCTCCCTGTAGTCTGCCCCAGCTGTGGGCATGTTTAGTCACCGGCTCTACTCGCAGGCCAAAATGTACCTGCGAGTGCTGGCAAGTTGTGAGCAGCAACGGCTCAATGATACCATAAAAGGAAACATTCCCCAACCCTTCCAAAGGAACCGTTTTCCCAGGGCTGTCCCTGGGATGGCTGGAATTCCTCTAATTGTGTGAGGAGGAGTCAGAGGCTCCGTGGCTGAACAACAGGAAGCAGAGCCCAGAAACACACTCAAAGGCATGCACACGCAGGCACGTGCGTGCACAAGGACAGGGACACACACACCGACACACAAGCCTCTGCGCACACACAGTCACATATGGAGGCAGGTGGACAGAGGTACATGTACACAGAAACACATGCACACACATGTGCACAGATGTGTGCAAAGCCATATATATAGATGAGCACATGCACCCACACAAGGCACATGGCTGCACATGCATTTACAAACGTGTCCACACACAAACCCAAGTGCAAACACAGGCACCCGAGGCACATGTATGCCCAGGTGTATGTGGACATACATGTATGTACGCAGCCACACACACACAGGGACATATGCCCAGGCACACGCACACACACAGGCTGCCTACACACACACTTCACATTCCGAAACCCCAGAGCCAAACTCAGAGTGTCTTCTCTCCATTCACCCCACAATCCCCAGCTCTCTGACTCCTCCAGCCTTCCCCCTCCAATTCCTGAGGCCAGCTTGCCGCTGTCAACACAGCCTAAATATACCTTTAAAAATTCTGGGCCACGCACTGTGGCTAATGCCTGCAATCCCAGCACTTTGGGAGGCCGAGGCGGGCAGATCTCAAGGTCAGGGGCTCAAGACCAGCCTGACCAACATGGTGAAACCCCGTCTCTACTAAAAATACAAAAATTAGCCGGGTGTGGTGGCGGGCACCTGTAATCCCAGCTACTCAGGTGGCTGAGGCAGGAGAATCACTTGAACCCAGAAGGCAGAAGCTGCAGTGAGCCGAGATCTCACCATTGCACTCCAGCCTGGGCAACAGAGAGAGACTCTGTCTCAAAAGGAAAAAAGAAATCTGGATTTGTTTTGCCAGGAACATTCATTCGGACAAATGCTTTCTGAAAAGCAAACTGCTGGGAGGCCTCCTCACTGCTTCCCCTCTTGCCCCTCTGCTTAGCATCCAAATCCACCTGCTCCACACACCATGAATCACACCATGGCCCCATGCAACAGGAAAGGTCTTTCTGACGCTCAGGAAGGGGTTTGGTCTGTTATCTTGTATGGCCTCCAATAACCTTACAAAGTAGATAAAGCAGGTATTATCGTCACTGTTTTGCGGGTTCTTTCCGCACAGTGGTTTTTCTGGATTTGTTCCTGATCTCAGAGGCATCTCTTCTGGGCAGTGAGGTAGTCAGAATTCTTAGCAACCAGTGGGCTCTTGGCCAGACTTAGTTTACTCTGCAGCCCACCTCCCCACCCTGTGCATTCTGGTGGAGACTGCTATCAGCGCCCAGCCCCTCCCCCCTCCCCCACATCGCCATCTCACTGGATGAGCACATTCAGAGTCCAGCCCAATCCGCTTGTTTTGGCTCAAGTCCTTATTTGGCCTGTAAGGACTGAAGGCTTACTTGAAAACGCCCTTCCTTCCTCTACACAGGAGGAGGCCGCCGGGAACACGCCCCTTCTGGGACACGAGCCCCCTGCCAGATGAAAGCCTAGCCATGGTAGGCACTTGAATTCCCTGCCCCAGCCCCTCTCTTGGTGAGGGCAGGGTAGAGCCAGGGTTATGAGTCACTCTGCAGTAGCTTTCAGACTTTTCAAAAAGCAGCGGCAGTCCTTCCTCAGATGAAATCTCCCCAAATCCCTGAGCAAGGGACAGCAGGTGGTGGAGACAGGGTTCCTCAGAGCACACAGAGTTTGACAATCACTGGTCCATGTGTCTGGAGCAGCTCTGCAAAGGAGGAGGCCACCGCCAAGGGCACTGCGGCCCTGGGTTCCCTTCTTCCTACGCGGTGCCTGCCCCTTGACCCCTCTGGGAATTAAGGGACTGCTCTGAGGATGGAAGGAAATGGTGTATCTGTTGTCAACAGTGTGAGGCAGACGCCCAGACATGCTGTCCTTATCCGCCTGCTGTCTCAGAGCTCCCAACCGAGCAACTCCCTGGCACCACCACGAGAAAGTCTTTTATAAAAGTTACATATTCAGGAACCAGGCCATTCCCTCCTTGGATCTCATTTGAAACCTGAAATGTCCTGAGGCCAAGCCCATGCAGTGAGGGCCCGTGAGCTGATGTGGCCCTCTACCTGTGCACAGGTGTTTCTAGCCAGCTCAGAAGGCTGGGTCCAGGAGGGAGGAAGGGGAATCTGACCACAGGTATTTCATCCCAGGTACTGACTTCTGCTGAAGGCTTAAGGCTCACTTCCTTTGGGAGAGGAGCTTCAGCTCATTCTTGTCCATAAAAGGCCACGAGGCTCACACAGCGGTGACATCAGCCCAACAGGAAGTACAGAGGAAGGGGCCTGGTTCACCAGCAACCACTGCTGGGACTGACTCATCACCATGCTCCCAAGATCACATCTCCCCAGGTTCCGGCATGGAGCAGCTCTCTCGGGCTCCACCTGGGAGAGGCCCCTACAGGACCCCATCTTCAGCTCCACTGGGTTTATTGAGAAATGGGTACGGACCAAGAAAGAAAGAAAGGAAAGGGGAGTTTCAGGTTGGGCAATGTCCCCACACTGGGTGAGACTGATCAGATAATCTGAGACAAATGGGATCAAAACTTTCCACCACCAGGGAGCCTTCTGCTTTCAGGGAAATTTCAGAGTGGCCCCTGGGGGTGGCTTGCTGTGTTGGCACTGTGATCCCTGCCCTGCATTGCCAGAATGGGTGTCTCATGCTGTCCTGGGCAGAGACCTAGACCCAGAGTCGCTTCTCTCCAAGACCCTCATGTGGACAGCATCTGGTCTCAGTTGGTCAAACCACAAAGCACCTATGGGGCTG